CTCCGTTCCTACTGCACCTTCAATCCCGGAGGAGCCAGCAGTCTCTCCTAAGGAGAATGTCGTCGTACCTCAGTCTGCGACAGCCATTCCAATCCCCCGTCCCAAGCGCAAGGCTTCGGTGTCTGCAGTCTCCCCGGGAACCATAGAACAGATCTCAACCCCTCCTCAACCTACCCCGCCTACACCTACCGCGCCAGAACCCCAAGTTGAGCAGACACAGGCGACTGTGTGCGATACTGCGGCTGCTGTTCCCGAGACACAGATATCCCGCCCCGATAATGACGCGACAGTGATTCGTCCATCCAAACGTCCCAAGACCACCGGAGAATCCATCGCCATCACCACCGATGCTGTCTCCACCGTTTCCGCTCCTTCCGCTGCTGCTGCTGCTGCTCCTCCTCATCCTGCTACGACTACGCGCACCACTGAATCAATTGCGATAGACGCCAACCCCCAACTTGTTACCCCTCCAGCAACGCAGGCGGCACTCACTGATAGCGAAGGGACTACAGATGCGCGCCCTAGAACTGACTCGCAGGTTACTGTTGCCGAACAAGGTCGAAAGCCAACGAGGACTAGACGGAAATCAGTGAAGGATGTCAATGGGGAAAATGCGACAAAGAAGAAGGAAAGAAAGCCTCGAACACGCAAGAAGCGCGAGCCAACCCCCGAAGGCGCCGAATCTGTCGAGATCGCCCCCGCAATGGTCAAGATGTCGGAGCTGTGCAAGGATTTGCGCACGGGTAAAATGTCCAAGCGTGAGACTGAGCTGCGCAACATGGAACAGGCTGAGCAGGAGCGTAAGCAAAAAGCCCAGCAGGAAGGCGATACTGAGGCACCGGTGAAAGAGAATGTGAACGACGCGTCTCCCGCGGGCGACCAGGATGAGAACCCAGACAACAAGGCCCAAGCTGGACCAGTGATGAGGATTGTTAACGGAGAGATTGTGCTCGACACTGCTTCATTGCAGGTGGATCGCCATGCCGACGCCGCGAGGAATGCTGGGGACCTCGAGGATGTTATCGAAAACTCGTTTACTCGAAAAATCAACCAGGCAACATACGGAAAACGATCCAAGACCGAATCCTGGGACGAGGAGATGACCGATCTTTTTTATCGGGGCTTGCGCATGTTTGGTACGGATTTCATGATGATCAGCAAGTTGTTCCCGGGCCGTTCCCGGCGCCAGATCAAGCTCAAGTTCAACAACGAAGAACGTCGTGACCCCCAGCGGATTAAAGAAACACTGTTGGGCCCGCGGGAGACCATTGACATCAGTACCTACTCGGAGATGACCAACACAGTCTATGATGACCCCAGGTTGATTCAACAAGAGTTGGACGAGGAGCGGAAGCGGATTGAGGCTCAGCACGCTAAAGAGAAGGAAGCGCAGGAAGAGATGCTTCGTAATCCTGACGGTGCGGCTGGTGGTGCCGACGGCACTCCAGCCAACGACATGCCTGTCAAAGCGAAGCGGAACAACAGGAAACAAGCCATGAAGGCCATGGCCGGTGGCACTGAAGAAGTTTTGGGCACCATTGATGATATACCTTGAGTACACAGGATCGATAAATTTATTTTAACGGCCGATTTCAATACCATGCGGGGATACAGGTGTTTTCTTGGCGTTGCAGACCAGACCAGTTATACTGCCTGGCGCAGGAGTTTACTTGGGTTTCTGTTCGTCTTTCTTTTGCCCCCCGGTGATGATGAATGTCTGTTTGTTTACTCTATTTGCTTACTACACCGTGGTCGGCTGAAGTAGTGGTAATTATCCGATGATTTGGTCCTACGTGTATCTTAGTGGTCGGCCATTACAACGAGAATATCAAAAGAACCAAAGGCTTATAGCTAGCACACTCTGCTCCTTCTAGCTATTACCTGCGGCGTGTTGAGCCAAACCCGGTACTTGAGGTGCTGCTGGAGAATTGCGGAGTGCGCGATCCTGAGCTACCCTCCCCAGGGTCATCATATCTTCTGGACGAGGAAGGCCGGGTCCAAGTAGATGACGAACTAGACCGATTCCCAGCGCTTCTTCTTCCCAGCGCATAACCAGCCGCCCCACCACCCATGGCACCCGTCCAAAACCCAGGTCTCCAACGCTCGCTAGGGTCCGAAGAAGGAGTATAAGGGGGCGGCGAGGCTGAGTACGGAGGCGGAGGCCCATCATCCCCATAACCACCACCACCTCCTCCCCCACCACGGCGTCGTCGCTGTGGCCGATTCGCCCCCGACCCACAGCACTCGTTGATGAATGCTGCCAGAATGAACACAAAAACCGCGATCATAAACCCAAAGAAGATCACTTTGCCTACGGGGCCAAGCTCATCACTCGAAGAGCTCGATCTCTCATTGCGCAAGTGTCCAAACTTCTCCTCCCCCGCTTCCGTCAGCAGTAGGCGATACTCGACTCCACAGCTCCCTTTCAATATCCACTTGTCGTCGGCATTCCGGTATCCTTCACAGATTACGTCTGTAGCTCCGAGCTTGAATTCCTGTGGGAGCGACGCAGTGCAGGTCCATTGGACGTCTTCTTCGTGGTAGTCGTAGCCTTCGTTTGTGCATCGCATCGTGTCGATCTCGTACATATTGCAGATGCGCTTGGATGGGCCGGTGCATTTTAGCTGCGGGATTGGAGATACTCGTCTGGAGGTGGTGAGACGGTTTCCGCGGAGGGTGAGTGACCGGACGCGCGAGAGGAGGATGGCGTCTTTGCCTGGGGGTCGGTCGGAGAGAGCGGTGTGTGGGAAGAGGAGGAGGGAGAGGAGGAGCTGTTGGATGAGTAGATTGTACATTGTGGGAGGTGTCTTGTGAATGGGTAGCTTTGGTGTGTGTGTCAGTGGAGAGTGAGCATGAGCATGCTGCCGACGATGGATGCGGCGTCTAGATAGATGGCATACAAGCAATGGTTAAGGCGATGTGGTATCAGTACAATATGGTGGTTTGTGAGCTGGATCAGATTTCCCTCGGTAGTTAGTTCCAGATCAAATATGGGATTCCGGAACGTGCAAGTGTTTCAACGTGTCCTCCCCAGACAACCAGCTTGAGGGGCGGTTCTTGCATCCGATCTGGATTGTGTTGGACCCGCGGTGGAGGAGGGATCGATCACCGCTTAGCGTCACCGCAGCGGAAACCTCGACCTTCGCCATTTTCCGCTTCTTTCGTCATTTCTCCAAGACACTGCCATCCAGCCCCTTCTATATAATCCCGCGGCTGTGGTGGTCATGGGCGATGGGCAGAAGTTGAGGTCTATAGTGGCGGACAATGTCTTTCCAACAAAGTGCGATCGAATCATTTCCCCCTCTCTGCTAAGGACTGCCTGAAGCTAACTGACGAACCAGGTGAAACGGTGCCCGTTCCGGCTCAATCCTCGTATGTCACTAATGGCCTGATCCCCCTTGGTTGTTCCCATAGAGGGCTAACGAACTAGTCTAGCCTATCTTTCACGCAGGGATTTTTGCTTGGGCAGCTGTCCGTGGTGCTGTTGATCGGAGCCTTCATCAAGTTCTTCATTTTCGGCGAAGCTCCTCCGCCGCCCTCACGCGGCCTTTCACATCGAGCCTCTACTCATCGGCGTTCCAATTCCATCTATACAATCAACCCTAACGAGACCAATAACCGGTCATTGAGGGAGAAGCCGTCGAATTCGAACGTTCTCCGTCCGGTGCCTTCCTCCTCGACGAATACCCGCTCTATCCTCCGCAAAACCTACTACAGCGCCATTCCTACAAATCCCCCGAAACATGGCAGGCATAAGATCCATCATTCGTCACACCAGCCAGAGTCTCTGGACTGGTTCAATGTGTTGATTGCCCAGACTATTGCTCAATACAGACAAACAGCGTACTCGTTGAAGGACTCTCCGACGTCGTCCATCCTCAGCTCGCTCAATGCGGCCCTCAACAATCCCGAGAAAAAGCCCTCTTTCATTGACAAAATCAACGTCACGGATATCTCGCTTGGTGAAGAATTCCCCATCTTTAGCAACTGCCGTATCATTGCTGTAGATGACCCCAATTCCGATGGCGGGAGACTCCAAGCCTTGATGGACGTCGACTTGAGCGACGACAACTTGTCAATCGCCATCGAAACTTCCTTGCTGCTTAACTATCCTAAGCCATGCTCTGCTATACTTCCTGTGGCACTCTCGGTTTCTGTCGTCCGGTTTTCGGGCACATTATGTATCTCTCTTGTTCCCGCGTCCACCCCTCCCCTCCACACTCCCTCTCCATCCCCATCCCCTCCCACCGCTGATGGGAACTCGCGCGGCAAGGCAACCGGAGACGCCAACGCACAAGCGGCTGACGAGGAAGCTGATGGACTTCCACCAAAGTCAAGCCCGAAGAGCAATGTTGCATTCTCTTTCCTTCCGGATTACCGGCTAGACCTCTCCGTTCGATCCCTCATCGGCTCCCGGAGCAGGCTCCAAGATGTGCCAAAGGTAGCTCAGCTCGTGGAAGCCCGTGTGCACGCGTGGTTCGAGGAGCGAGTGGTCGAGCCCCGAGTGCAAGTAGTCGGGCTGCCCGACCTATGGCCGCGCATGGGTCGGACCGGTGTCCGCACCGGTGACGACTCAGAAACCGGCTCGAACGCAGCATCTCGGAGTGCCATGTCGGCTGATCTTGGAGATCACCATCTGGGGGATCGAGAACCCGAGGGCCTACGGTTCCGGGGTGGACTTGCCTCACGGCCCCAGTTCGACAGCGTCTCGCGAACGAGCAGCTACAACGTCGAGACAGGGGACCTGCGCAGTCCCAGCTTGGTCCGAGAGGAGAGCTCGGGAGCGCTCAGCGAACAATTCCAGATGCCTGGCTCTTTGTCCGGCGCGGCTGCTCGCTGAGCAAGCTACCTTTCTTTGGCTACGTGTATCATAGATGACTACGAGTTTTGAAGAAAAAGCATCCGACCTACATAACGAACGGAGTTAGGTAAATAGGGGAATTGAACATCACCATGTGCACAACACAAACACAAAGTCTATCCACGAACAGGTAATAAATGTCATAAAATTTCATTGCCATGGTATATAACATAGTCGTCACATCAAGCTTTACACATTGCCACCCCCAAACTCATTTTAAACAGCAGCAACAGCAGCCTTGCCCAGACTACCGAGGTACGACACACGGTGCGGGTTCTCATCGAGATCGTTGCTGCGGTTCAAGGGAGTCCACTTGGGTTCCTCCTGGAAGAGACGCATAGCCTTGACGTACTAAACACAGACAGGCCCATTAGTACCCCATTCCTCTGCACAAATTCAAACGTCAAAACTTACGTTCTTCTCGTCCGTCGTAAAGCGATGATAGATACCCGCGGGGAGGATGATCAAATCATCCTTCACCAACTTGATGCGGACCCACTCATCCTCCTTGCCACGGACGTCAAAGTATCCCTCACCGTCCCGGATATAGCGGATTTCCTCGTCCTCGTGGAGATGCTCATGGAAGAACATCTTCACCTTCTCCTCGTACACATCGCCCATGGTCTTGGGGGACACGGTGACCTCATCGCGGTTCTTGTATCCGCGCTCGGCGGCCAGGGCATCGACGTCCTCAATTTTCGGGCAGTACTTGTAGAAAACACCCAGGGACGCGAGGTAGGCTTCGTCGACGGGACGACCGTCGTCATGGGGTTCGCGCTGGTCGCCCTGATAATCATGAAATGTCAGTCGGTGCCATAGTGGTAGCCAATGGAGGGGTAAGTGACGAAACCATGCGAGGTGGGGAGGAGTGCAAGGCGGGATATATAGACAGGACGAACTCACCGGCTTGTTATCGTACCAGTAAGCCTTCATTTTCAACGAATTCTAATAAGATACAAATGCACACAGAATCCACAAGTTCGACAAAAACAAGAACGAACAACCAGGAACGAGGATCAACGGCGAATATAAGTCCACCCCAAAGCCAATAAAGCCCGCCGCGGGGCGCCGTGAAATAAGCCCCACGTGTGATTGGCTGTAATGCAAAACTTCGGCTCATTTCGTCATTACGTCAGCAAAGCACATCATCTCACCGCCTTTCGGAGTTTGAGCTCGGATTTAAGCTTTTTGGCCTTGGCTTGTCGCGCACGTGATGCGGATATGAGTTCTTTTTTCCGGGGCAAAAAAAGGGTTAATTAAATCTATGGGATTAGTTTAGTAGTGAGTGAGATTCCGGTTGCGGAAGCATCAAGTTTCTTAGCTTCTCCCCTTTCCACACCTCCTCCATCCCTTGACGCTCTAGGCCATCCCGTTCGCAAATGGCTTTTCGGGCTCGCTCCGTTGCCCTTCTTCGTTGGGGGTTGGAGCCGAGATCATCCCAGTTGAATGTGCTGGGTAGGAGACGTGGGTTGGCGACGGTGTCGGATGGGACGCGGTATGTTTTTTTCTCTATCCTATACGGGGGTGTATGCAGTGGTTTGATGCTAATCCTAGCTTTCTTATAGAGCATACGATGTGGTGGTCATTGGAGGAGGTCATGCAGGCTCCGAAGCCTGCGCCGCGGCTGCTCGTTCAGGCGCCCGAACCGCATTAATCACGCCCTCGCTATCCAACATCGGTGTCTGCTCATGTAATCCCAGTTTCGGTGGAATCGGAAAGGGTACTATGATTCGGGAAGTTGATGCGATGGATGGTGTCGCGGGACGAATCATCGATAAGGCCGGTATTATGTTTCGCACGCTGAACCGATCCAAGGGCCCGGCGGTTTGGGGTCCCCGTGCTCAGATCGATCGCGATTTGTATAAGAAGTACATGCAGGAGGAGCTGCAGGGAACGGAAGGATTGAGTATTGTGGAGGGTAAGGTTGCGGATATTGTGGTGTCGAAGGATGGGGTCGAGCATACTCCCGGAGCGCAGGGCAAGATTGTTGGTGTCAGGCTGGAGTCTGGCGAGGTTATACCCACTGGCAAGGTGGTTATCACGACGGGAACGTTCTTGGGTGGAGAGATTCATATTGGGCTTGAAGCGTACCCGTCTGGTCGGATGGGTGAAGCTGCTACGTTCGGACTTAGCAGGTCTTTGCGGGATGCTGGGTTCACGCTGGGTCGTTTGAAGACGGGGACACCTCCGCGGTTGGATAGGAAGACGATCAACTTTGCACCGTTAGAAGTCCAGGAGGGTGATCACCCTCCGAGTCCGTTTTCTTATCTCAATGGCAGGGTTCAAGTCGACGACGAAGCCCAGCTTACTTGCTGGATGACTTACACTAATGACGACGTTCACGACATTGTCCGGGCGAACCTGGACAAGACCATTCACATCCGCGAGACCGTTAGGGGACCCAGATATTGTCCTTCACTCGAGTCCAAGATCATCCGCTTCACCGATAAGAAGCGCCATCTGATCTGGCTCGAGCCAGAGGGATTCGCGCCAAACGACGTCATCTACCCCAATGGTATCTCCATGACTATCCCTGCCGACGCCCAGTACGCCATGCTGCGAAAGGTTCACGGTCTCGAGAACGTGACCATGCTTCAACCCGGCTACGGAGTCGAGTACGACTACATTGACCCGCGCAATCTCCGCCCCACGCTCGAAACGAAACTCATCAGCGGTCTCTATCTCGCTGGCCAGATCAACGGTACCACCGGCTACGAAGAAGCCGCCGGACAGGGTATCATCGCCGGAACCAACGCTGGATTATCCGCTCAAGGTCGGGAACCGCTCACTCTCCGCCGGTCCGACGCATTCATCGGCATCATGATCGACGACCTGATCACGAAGGGCGTCTCCGAACCCTACCGCATGTTCACGACGCGAAGCGAATACCGCATCACCACTCGCTCCGACAACGCCGACCTCCGTCTCACCCGGATGGCCCGCGAGGCCGGAATCGTCTCCGACAAGCGCTGGCGCCACTTCACGGAAACAGAAGCGCAAATTAACGAGCTCCAATCCCTCCTCGAGAACACCAAAATGTCCTCCTACGCCTGGGCGCGCAAGGGCTTCAAAGCCCGCATCGATCCCTCTCAACGCTCCGCCCTCGACCTCCTGTGTCTTAGCGAAAGCGACATCAACTCTCTCATCCCGCACATCGAATCCCCCACCGGCACCGTCTACTCCGCCTCTTCCTTCCCCCCGGAGATCCGCAATCGCGTCTCCATCGAAGGCCGTTACGCTCCCTTCGTGATTCGCCAGGAAAACGCAGCCAAGAAATCCCTCCGCGACGAGAACTTGTCTATCCCTGCGGACCTGGATTATGCTACTGTGAAAGGCATCAGCATCGAGGAAAAGCAGGCCCTGGAGCGCGTCCGTCCCGTCAGTATCGGCATGGCGAGACGCATTGAAGGTGTTACTCCATCCGGTGTCCTGAGGGTGCTTATGCACGTGCACAGGACCAGTCGGGATAGGACTGCTCCCGCATCGGAGGGGCTTGAGGAGACCCCTGATGATGTTATCAGCCAGGCGCCTTAAGTTGGTGGTGCCATCATTGATGACGTGTTTATTGGGAAATGGTGTTGAACGACGACTATACTACATTATTGCATATCACAGCGACAGGCGAATTAAATCGACTGGACTAGGCGAGGCGTATCGGTGTCATTTCGAGGGTTGTGTTAAAATCGAAAGATGGTTTGGTTTAGGGCCCTCTTATGTATATTATTATCATTATACCTTTCATCTTTTCTTTTCGAGGCCTTTGTGTACTATATTTTTGACTTGTGGGTCTCGGATACATGCATATACCAATTCATCTCTCTTCTTGGTTATCTGCTATGGAGTAGGCGACCGGTAGAATCATATGGCTGGTGGTGAGACAGGACATTCTAGACTTGGATTCAGGCCTGTGGAGATTGAAACGAGTACTATTCTGTACAATGTATACCGGTAGAGCAACTCACATATAGGATTTATCTAACATTTAACAGCTTATATAGGCTTAGTAACTAGTGTAGACTTTTAACTACTTGACTATCTTCTACTAATTACGACTGTTGGTAACTATTTACGACTGTAGATAACTTTCATAAGTTCTCCGCACACCATTTGGGTCTTTCTGATATATGTGAACTGCTTGGTGGGTGACTTTTCCATTGATACTGAGATGATAATTGTGACGTACAATAGTAGTAGCAGTAGAGAGGGTGTTTCAGGTCAGATACTACTACCATCATCGGATGATATATATATGTTATATCAGCAACACTAGCGACCGATGAAGTTGAACATCTAGTATCGGATCCCACAACTAATTATACGGTGCAAAATCACCCGAAAACAACAATGCTCTATTTATATATACATACATGCATACATACACCTTCACACAGACTTCATCTATGATGCGACAACTATGGGGCTTGGAGGTTGATCAAGGCTTCTTACCCGCCGCGGCGCGGGCAATACGCTTCTGGACTTCTTCCTTAGAGAGAATTTTGACCGCGTCCCTGGAAAAGACGTAGCTCAGGCCGGACCAGAGGGTGGTTGCAGCGACGAGGTATCTTTTAACCAATGTTAGTATCAGGATATTCCTCTGCAATAGTGCAACAGGAAAAGACAGAAGCAAAATAACAAGTGAAAAGAAAAAAAAGAAAGGGAGAAAAATAAAAACATACAACAGAAGGGATTCGCTGGTGGTCACCCACCCAACTACTAACCTCCCGGCGTGTGGCTTAAGTACGGCTGAGCGGACGGGAAGCCCTGTTTTCCACACCCTGTGGTCGTATGTACCGAACATACACCAGAACGGGTTTACATAGGCCTCTTCTCGCTTTACGCGCACACACTTTTACAACAGTGACGGGGCAAGGGTAACAATGATAACTGGGGCATAAAAGGGCCACTTACTGGAATCCGGTCATTGCTTCCCTCAGGCTCCAGGCGTCGATGACCGTCTCGGGAAGTACAGGAAGCGCAATCGCACTACCCACTAGGAGCAGCTGCAGGGCCGTATTGATCTTGGACACCGTAGTGGGCTTCACTTCGGCCGAGGGGAGCGAGAAATCCCAGTACCGGGCCATGGTCTTGGGCGGTGGCAGGGATATCCATCGGTAGTAGATTGCAGAAATGGCTAGTCCGACATCCCGTCCCAGGATGATTACAGCGAGCCAGACTGGGTTTGTTAGCCAATTGAGCCGAAGGTTCGTCGTTGGTTTATGCCTTGGGGACACAACGTACCTGGGATGGACCCGTTCACGGCCAGGCAGGTGACTCCGATGGTCATGAGCAGCTTGTCAGCCATCGGGTCGATGATCGTTCCAACAACGGTCTGCAAATTCCACCGCCGTGCGATGTAGCCGTCCACAAGATCTGTGATACCGGCGTATGCGAACAGACTGAGTGCGGCTACGTGGTGGTCATGGACGAGAAAGTAGCCTACCATAGGCGCCGCAAGTAGACGGGTGAACGTGAGAATGTTGGGGACGGTGTAGATATTTTCATGAGTCCGAGGCAGCTTGGCGAGAATTGGCGACTTCTTGAGGCTGTTTCGAGAGATATGTCACGGTTAGGACTCGGGAGGGGCTGATAACAGAGCGCAGCCCTCGATAACCCTGAACGTCTGACAGGCGTAATGGTGAGTGCTCACCTTGAAGAGTCTGGATCCGTTGGCTTTTGTGCAGAGTATCGCTTTTGTTGGCCAACACTTCGTGCCAATTGCGAGTCTATAGCGCAAAAAAGGCTGGTCTTCTTTCGTGGTGTGCTGAACCTTGATTTAGCGATTTATCCCAATGGCCACATCCAGCTAATTCGTACTTTGCCTGAATCCTTGAGCGACTACCCAGAGTAATCGCCGAGAAGCTGCGTGCTTCTGTTACCGACATCTGCCATCCTCGCTGGGAGAGGGAAGTGTTCACCAGCGGGGTGGTGAATAGCCGAGCGCATTGCCTGGATGCACGTAAAGGCATTGGCAACATTGCAATCGCTGTCATGATGAAGCTGGTGAGTCGGTAGATGATGAAAAGATCCGGATGATGCTCGCGCGGTATCGCTCAGAGATAGCGAATATTTGTTGAATGGTTCCCAACAGACAATGCTTTCCAGAAGCCCAGTAGGTGAAATAGAGCCAGCCGATGTAATTCAATTGGTGCAGAGTACTAGCCGATAACAAAAGTAGTCATGTCATAGAACAATATTAAACGTTCTGACCATATGACCACGTGACGCAGGAGAAAAGTAGCCGAAAGGAAAGAAGGCGAGATCGTGGAAACGAAAGAACAAACCCTGCAACCAACACTCAATGGTGTCGCTTGTAACCAAGGATCCGAGGCTTCTCAAGACTGGAATGAACGAAGTATACTACTGTCTGAACGGCGAGATTATCCGGCTTCCGCGAGACTCCTGGGCACGTGAGTCTCGGGTCAGGCGGCGATCAATCCAACTGGCGGAGTAATGGCCATCCACGACGCCGGATGATGATGACTCGAGACAATGAAGCGCGAGAAGGACCGGACGTTCGACAGGAAGCGAAAGGGGGACGAGAAGGAGAGTATAGACCTCGGTCGAGACTCGCGATGGGAGAAAATGCCGACGGAGTTTTGGTTCCTCCGAGGTCATGTGACTTTATATAGACATGGCAGACTAGAGTTGCTATGAGAGAAATAGTCCTTGATAGCATGGTTGAATGGCAGTACTCATATAGAGACAAATACAGGAAGGTAAATATGTGTAAGTGCTTGTTGTGTATGGGTTGCTCAACTCGCTCAGCTATTATTTGTACAATATCATACGGTGAATATTTCCGGGTGGGATTTGGCACCTAAGCGTCTCAATTTAAGATTGTTAGATATAGGAAAAGACCCACACCATTGTCAGTGATAATGCATATTCTCCACAGTTCTTACTGATACCGGGACCACACTAACAGGCTCGGCATAACTTTGGACTAACAGAACTGCTCGAGCACGAATCTCGCCCACTGCAATATTCACGCTTTGTCCATTGCTGTTCTCAAAGACCCCGAGAAAGACTAGATAGTATGTTGAACGCATGAAGGCTCATCCGCTGGAAGTTCGGATACAGGGGTTCCTTGAGTTTCTGCTGGCATACACGCTTTGTATGCAGACTTAATAGGGCTGCCGAGTCCCCTGATTTCTTCTGAAGGATCCTGGATTATTGGCCCAGAATCAGCCGATGGCACTTTCTGTCTCTTTCGCCTGAGACACCAGTATAACACAGCTGCTATCAGGCCGCACCCGACCACGGCTCCCACAACCGGTCCTGCAACCCACGCTTTTGAGGGATGGGATTGGGAATTTGGGCTAGGAGAAGAGGCAGCGGCCGTGGTAGAGGCCAAAGCAGTAGCCGTGGGGACGGTGGCAGTCCTTTTCTGGGTCTGCGACGTCGTCACTGCTGTTGGGAGCTTCTCAATGCCTGCCGTAATTAATAGATTGTGGTAATTGATTTCTGAAGACTTCAACGTCGTATGACGTTTTGTATGCTTGGACGTGCTCGTCTGGGCGTCAGAATACCAGTAGCTCGCAAAAATCTCGCAGTATGCGCTTTGAGTTGAAGAAAAGATCCTGCAGGCCCTTGAGTCGACATTGCTAGTGTACTGCAGAGAGTTTTGTTCTGAGCCGCTCGAGCTGTGTATGTACGTTGAAGGCCCCATGGTAAATGTAGGTGGAAAACTGACAGTCTCCAACGAGCAGTTAACGACCAGGCTATGGATACAGTTGGTCCCGATGGTAGTCCGGTCCATCACAGTATCCACATCCACGATGCTTCCAGCCAGAAAACTGAATATACTGCTGTAAAACACGGCATTTGCCTCAAAAACTTGAACATATGCTGTAGGAGGTGCTGTTGTGGCCACTGTTGTCGTCGTCAGCTTGGTGGCTGACGTTGCCAGTATGGGAAAGGCGATCATGAGAGCAGCGTATGCTGGATACATGATAAACTTCACGCTTAGCAGTGGTTCGTATATAAAAGAGGGCTTGTAATAAAATCAATACGCGCGACGGGTGGACGGCAGATGCTCATAGACCGTACAAGCTTTGGTGCAGCCCGTATGGGAACCTCCTATAGCAAGAACGTGGTGCCTGTTGTAAAATTGGTGATCAAAGACGTGCTATATATGCTGAATTATAAATGAATTGAGTGAGCCAAGGAGCAGAGCGAGGGGGAACAAATGGTGAGGAGGCGACAGTGGCTGATGAGCGAGGTGTCACGAAATGCCCCTGATGGTGCTTGCACAGCTGGAAACCCCACTTGATAATCAAGGTTATCAACTCGACTACCTGGCAAAAGCTCAACATACCTACTGGTAATCCCAGAGTCTGCATCCTCTGTAGGGCTTTGTAGACCAAGAGCACCGAGGGTTGATGCGAGTCCCCTCAGCCAGCAAGTCTAGAGTGCATACTAGTATGTGGCCCTTGTTGCGGTAGTCTAGCACATTGAGATCCATATTTGGTGGACCAAGTCAGAGCAGCCATGTTATTCAGAGACATTGATTTGATAGCAAAGTTTTAGCCTTGCTATTCCCGGAGCTTCTGGACCTAAAGCAGGCTGTTGGACGAATGCGAAGACGAGAAGGGGAGAGGAGCGGGATCGGGATGTCACCCGCTAACTAGTCGAACTTCCTTCGCTGTCACTCTCAGACTTCACCCTTTTCACTGAGGATCAGGTATCTTGACAAGCACACCAGTATTCTTCACTAATGACTTTTGCTATAAGATTTATATTTACCCAGCCTCCATATAGATGCCGATATCAATATCTCATTACCCCTTGCACCACTGAAGGGACCGTTGGATTTCCATGATGGCACCTTGTCTTACGCGAGTCGGGTCGATAGGAGTCTGTGTCACACTTCTCTCTGTCAGCCTCGAGAAGCATCCATAATATGTCTATGCGGAGATTCACCGGTGGCTCACCATCCCGACGACTAATGAAACGATTGAAGTCCGCAAGCCGATACCCATCCTATAAAAGCAAGCCTCAGATGACCGTATCCGATAACAAAAGAGGCCTCTACAGAGTGAAAGAAAATGAATTCAACTGAGCAATAGAATCTGTCGATGACTTCGCTTGCTCAGTACTATTCATAATTTGCATGGGGCCCCCTATAACTGGAATAAGAGTCTGCCTAGTGAAGTGAGGTCAATCCCTATATCCTGAGAGCTATGTACCCTGCAGCCACAGGAAGTTTTGCAACTATCTGAGCCTGTTCGCTAACCCAACGGTTGCTTTCAACACTTCAGAATGCTAATCTTGAGTTCCAACTCCAGACGTGATCCGATCCTTTCGCATACAAAAGGTATCTGCCCAGTCAAACATTGATAGCCGTCAATCGTTTTCACCCACACCGCGGAAGTGACGAACTGCGATATAGCCCCATTTTTAGCCATTCAATATTGGTTCAAACACAAGCGTGTTCTTGATAGTGCCAGTGTCAGCTACATCCTCGCAGTGTCTATCTGGTTTAGGGCTATTAATGGAGGCCTAGGATACAAGGAGAGGCGGGGATATATGCTGGGCTCTGGGCTATTCAGAATCTTGTCGCATGCTGGTCACCACTGAGACAGATCTGGCTAGACAAGTGCATAGCTCTGCCTTCACTCAAGAGATTGACAACAATCGGACTTTTATTCGGTTGAAATATCCAAATGACTCAGTTACTGTATCACAAGGAGCTTTATATGCCGGGGCTGTTCCAGTGCTTCCATGCCGGGTAATCCGCAAACAAATGACTCCTATTTCCGACAACCGATCATTGATATGACTTCAAGATGCTTGATCTAGCTTGATATCATACCATGTGCCGACCCGGTCAAACCAAGCTGTAACCTATAGCCTATTCTCACTTCTATCAAAACCAACCTTCTCCTGATTCTTCTAGCCACATATATAAAGTACTCCCACTGTAAAATATATAGGCTATGTATCCTAAAACAGCTCACTACTTGCTGCTACTATCAAAAGGCCCATAAAACAAATCCCTATCAAGCTCCAATATCAACCTCCACGCCGCATCCCACTAAAGATCATCAATAGCGGACGAGTATATACATCTCAAACAGCACGTTACACAAAATACCCCCTCATCACAAATATCGACTCAGTCCTCTCCCCTAGCAAGAGCGCATTGAGACTGATCACTTATCACCATGACACAAAACCACAAGCCCCTATATTCCAACAACCACAATAGCACAACAGAAGCCACAAACCAAGCCACAATTCACACGCCGGTCTACAAAGCTGAAACCGTACTTTTAGAGAGATAGAAATGCCCAACGTCTCACAAAAATGTAGTCTATCAGTCTAAACATTTTCTTCCATTCACCAGACCTCTGCGTAGGCTCTGGACTATTGCCTCTAATTACAACCACCAGCACTATCATTGACGTAGCAAACCCGCCACAAGCAAACCAGCACATGGCATACGGTACACCAACCAATGAAAGCAGAACACAAGTTATCGATAGCCTCGTTTCTCGTTTATTCCTTTTTATTCATCTTGATGTCCACCGCCATGTCGATGGCTACACTGGTGGGGTGTGATGATGGCTGAGACATCAGCCCTTACTATTGAACCGATTCGTATATGTCTTGGATGGTAGTCTGTGACTGTAATTGCGGTATCGTGTATATACATCGCTTTGAAGAATGTCCGTCGATAGATCGAATTAGTAACTGAGGTACGCGTTTGTTTCAGATACTGAAGTCAGCTGGCTAGGATGGAGGTAGTATGGTAGTTGGTCTCTGAGACAGATTGCGTCTTTGAATAAGGAATAGTAGGTCTAGACTGTAGTTCAGCTCGTAAGAGGCTTGGTTGTGTTCTAGTTGGGTATCTATGCGTTTTACTGATGGAACTATACTCTAGTTGATGAGAGAGAGGTATGTATGAAATTTAGTAAAGTACTTTCACTTTACTACTAGTAGTAGACTACGCAAGTACACTACTTCCTTAGACCAGTACTAACATGCTACACATATACATAGACACCAGTAAATACCATCCAGCAACATCATCACACTTGTATCCAGCTACACATGTAGTAGTGCTAGTATAGACCACTGACACCTCCCCAGCTATACCACCAGGAAAAGATATCCGACGCAACAAACGCAGGAGCGAGAAACTCTACTTCACCCATAGATCCCTCCCTTCTTACCTTCCATCCAATCCATACACTACTAATGGCGCAGCGCGGCGCACTGCACCGCACCTTACATCCCCTCCCGCTTTCCTCTCTCCCCTCCCCCCAAACCCAGTATTACCAGTGACACAAAACACAAACACAAACCACCGCTCGTGTTGATACTCACACAACATGACCTAAGCACCCCAAAGCAGAAAACCCCGATGATGTATCATTTATCCACTCATCCATCCATCCATCCATCCATCCTATTGAATCCGAACCCTCAACATGGTACAGCATATTCCTTCCAGCAAGGGTATCCTATGCTTCCTTTCATTTCCCATCCTAGTCTATCTAATATCTATACTATAATCAAGCAAGGTACCCCAACCCCATCGACAATAGTCCAGAACTCTACATTAATTAGCCTGTGGCAAAGCGAACACCAGCACGGCCCAGCACAGCACAGCACAGTACCGTAAGTACTCAGCCACATTCCTCATGCCTACCTACCCAACATAGCAAAGCAGTACGTATACGTATGTCATCAGCCATCATGCCATGCCACCCCGTATGTCTGTGCGGTAGAGACGAAAAGGGAAAGGCAAACGGAAAGGGAAGAATGTCGACAAAGATCTCCTTCCTCCAAACTTTACTTGCCATGTGATTGACACAGCCATCAGACATACGCATATACATACACGTTTCTTACATTCTACATTCTTGAGGGGGAGATGGCAGATTGATGGAAACTATGTACGCTAAGGACTTATGGTTACTACTTAGGTTAGGTTGATGGGAGAGGTATGTACATTCCTCGGGGAAGGGTCCCCCGGTATCCTTTTCATCGGGGTGGCATGTAGTGTATTTACGATTTACTCGGTACTAAGATCGGTAGGTAGTTTGGTAGATAATGATATTACTAGTCTGGGTGGGTGGTAGAAAAGTAAGATGGATATGGCTGGATCATAGTTAGGGTATACGTAAGTTAAAACCGACTGAACATATAGTTAGCTAGTAGTGTCAAGCTAAAGAATGGAGAAGATGAAAATGGGAAGTGAAAGAAAGAAGAACCTTGCGTTTGCGTTTATTTTTCTGTCCTTTATCCATGGGGAAGGGAAGAAAGAAAGAAAACGGCTCTACCGTGTCTCATCGCAATGTACTCCGTAGGTACGTAGGTGATACGTACATAGTATGTAGGACGTGCATAGTACCAGACGATGCGATCTGATCTCATCTGCTGTGTATGTCTCTGAGGGTTATGTGTGGGTGGATGATGATGATGATGGATCGATCGGGGTTGGGTATCCACACAGGCAACGCAACCAGATCTACCCATCTATACCTAATCTACCTTGGCAGGTTAAGGCAAGGGTTGAAAGGCTCTTTGCAGTGTAGATCTAACCGAACCTATTACTACTATACCAAGTAAACCAACTGTCACTTCTTGATTCGTCAGCGTATATCTTGACCACCCAGTAACAATCCCAATTCCCCCAGGGTAAAGCAAAGTAAATGTAAGAGTCGAAGTTAGTAGATGATATGTCCGATCTCATTCCATCTTCCCTTCCCACCCCACACACACACACACGCACCCATTCTGTCTCTGTCTCGGGTCTGAAGAAACCGCCACCCTCAAAAAAAGGAAAGTAGAAAATAAAAAATAATCCCGATCATATCCCGGCTGGGGTTTACTTACCGACTTTACCCCTTGCATTGCTTTTTCCTTTTCATGAGCCACGCTATCTGGTATCTTCACAGCGATAGTAAGAAAAATAAAATAAATAAAATAAAATAAACCTGATACTATGTAGCATTGACCTCGCTTAGCTGGGCATCTTGCATACCATATGCATATAGTCTACCGTCTGTCTGTCGAACCTGCACTCAACCTGATTACCGAAGAAAGCCGTGAAACCTGAACCTTCGTTAGTTGCCGCTTTCTATAGCCGGCTGTGTAAGCACTATAGTGATAGTTGCTAGCCGAAGAATGTCCGTGCATTTGGTATAGTATACATATGTAGCCAAAAATTTGTGGAAAGGAATTGTCTGTGTGTTGCCTTGCCGTCGCGGAATTCTCATTTGGAATAATAAATAATAAATTGACCATATTTGCGTCAAAAAGTGGTCCTGGATACTATGTATGTTGGTTTCTTTCTTTCCTGGAATTATCAGTTAGTACTAGTAAGTTAGTAGCAAGCTATCCAACCCACATACATGATACTACTAATCGGCGAATATCCACCATAACCAAGGAAGGCAGGTAAGTAAGTAGATACTGAGTAAGTAGGGATTCTGCACTATTGAGAAAACAAGTCATTAGCCACAGGCAACTGACTAAGTATCTCCTAGACGAAACCTGGAATTCTGCACCATACTGTACCAGGCAGGAGTCTTCAGCCTCTCTCATTTTTCTCCCCCCCCCGAAACCCGGGCCCGAGATACTCGGCAGTTAGTCCAGTTAGTATCTGCAGGATGCATTTCCAAGATGAGTGTGAGTATGTCAGAAGACTCAAAAAGAAAGAGAGAAGGATTTCTTCAGCTGAGCCTCCTCCTTCTGCTCCTTCCTCTTATTCTCTTGCCATCATCATCTGCAAATGCGAGCGAGCGGGGCAACAAGAGTGTTGGCACTTGGCGGGAGGGAAGTAGTGATGTATACTAGGAGTAAGTTATTTTAGTCACTTCGTTGTCTGAATAACTGGATAACTAGTAGTTAGTTGGTTATCTTGTAAGTAGTAATGCGAGTAAGTAATCAGGAGAGCCGCGGTCACTCAGATAACTACTCACTACCACTACTTACTGTACGCTGTAATACATATAGTACCTGCCTAGTTGGGCAATTGGTCTGTTGAGCATTGCTTAAGTGCCCGTTTCAAAGCTTAAAGAATTAGAAACTCCTCAGTATTTAATTAAGAAATTAAGTAGTAGTAGAGTTAACTTTCATCTAAATACTGTAAGTGACTTATTTGTTTTTCTTTGCAGAGATGACGATGACATTGATATCTGATCTTCTGATAGAGCGATAGATAGATAGATAACCCGACAAGAAGGGCGTGTAACTAACAAAACATGCATACTGTATGTAATTGACGGAACAAAATACGGTGTGAAGACCACCTCACTCACCACCAGCACCATCATCATCATCATCGAAATCACAAGATCCAAATTCCTTGCCCCGCGCGCCCGACAAAATTAATAATCATAATAATAGTAACTAACCAAGTAACTAATTGCTTGCAACTAGTTACTTTGTAGTTAGCCAGCCGGCCTTCCGCACTCCGTCGTAAGTAGTGCTATTGCTAGATACAAGAGTGAAACAAATCTCCAAACATACCATGTCGATCTACATTTAGCAGCGCCCGAACTAGTCCGCAAGCAGAGACGCAGAGAACCAGTGGCTCAGACGCTAAATTAGGAGATGAGAAAATTGCGGACTTACGGTAGAAAACTAGCTAGGTATTCTAGTTAGTAGTTATTCACCTAATAATACATCCTACTAATATAGTTATTAATCAAAGAATAAAATAAAATAAAAAGGCCGCGATGACGATGATGATGTTGCCGCTCACTGCCGCTGCCGCGTCTAAGGGAAAAAGGAATGAAAAAAATAAAAAAGCCGCCCCCTTATCGAACGAAACGAAGAAGTTCGGATATTCTGGAACTAGTGGCGTTGCGCTAGGAATTTGATCCCTGGTTTTTTTTTTTTTTTGTTTCTTTTCTCACTTAACCTACTGTTTACTGCATGGATGCTGCTGCTGCTGCTATTTTCATACTGTCTACTTACTTACTAGTCAGCGTGAATCCACTGGGGCAAAAAGAAGAAAAATCAAGTAGTACTGCTTTGTAACAAGATGTAGCGTAGGACAAAGTGAGTACCTACGCAAGCGTCAACGTCTTGTCCGGTGCTGTGGTATGATATCGTTGTGCATGGCAAGTGTAGATCTGATTGGATGGTAAATGGACACATGGACAAGGCAGCGGAGTATACGCCATGGGTACATATACATAAGAAGGACATCTTGGTACTACACAAAAGTAGGGTAGAACAAGAAAGTAAGTATGTACATGGACAGGGTGTCTATCTGGGTAAGTAGTACAAACCCCCCATTCTACTTCAGATAGGTACGTACGGGAGTGGGAGTAAGTGATATGTGTATACCCTGTCTATAGTAGTAAAAAATAAACACCTCGGAAATAAGAACAAGGAAGGCAATAACTAGAGAATTTAAAGCACACTAAACTGAAAGTTAACTAAACCACATGCCTGGCTGCCTAGATAGTAGTCTACTAGCTTAGTGTCCCGAGCAAAACCCCTCAAACTAACTTAGTAGTAAGACAGGGACTTGAAATCGGACCGGCCGGCCGTCAATTAACGAACCGGCCCCAGCAAGAATGGCAACCCGTCAGCGAGGTTGGCGCGCCAAGCATGACCTCAATGCCCAGGGGGAAAGGGGGAGGAGGGAGGAAGAGCTGAAATGAGGGATAGGCGAGGTAACTTGGCTCCGAACTCAACTACTACTAATCATCTTTCTTACTAACGTAGGTTGGTAGATAGGTCTGGGAAGAAAGAAAATTCCTCAAAATCGTCATAGGATGGAGACTGACTGACGGATTGGATGGAAGAAGGCCTGATGTCTCGAATCTGTCGCAGAAATTTCCGCAAAAGTAACGAAAAAAATCTTAAGACACGCGCCGATGGCCCCGAGCCACGTTTTTTCTGGCATGGTGGTGGTGGTGGTGGTGCTGCTAGGCTGGGTGGTGGTCGGGATCTGGATCCCTGGCTAGACTGTGGGGGAATTCGCAGGTGGCTAGCTATATTACTGATTACTATAACCGGGCTAGTGACTATTAGGGATGGGTGTACCTGGTCTAGTTGCATAGTCTGAGGGGAGTGGAAAAGGCGGGATGAAGGGGGGAGAAGACTACATAATGGTAATATCCATGAACAAGGCTGGCGATGTAATTACTTACTACTAGTATCGGTATCAAGTGGTGGTCGCGGTGTAAAGAGAGAACAGAACTGGATCGAAGTACTTGGCACTTGCGCTGAAAAGAGTAAGTAGTGTGAGTAGATGAGGATGGTCCACTTTGTTCTCCTCCTCCTCCACTCATCGACCCAAAAGCGTGGCTGACAAGGCGTTGAGCAATGCAGTTTTAGTTAAAAATCAACGTGTGGGCTGCGATGGAATGAGCCGGCAGGAGAAACCAGCAAGTCATGTTGAGAGCATGAAGGGAGGGAAATTATTCAAAATGGAAGGTCGACTGGAAGATTAAAATTACATAAAAAAGAATAAAAGAAAAATAGAAGGGAAAAAGGCTGAAAGAAAAAAAGAAAATAAGTTTTGACAAGCAAGGGGGAGTGGCTTGGTGCCTAGAAAGAGATCTAGAAGCTTGCTCAAAGCATCTCGGGACGAAAAGACTGTGCGACCGTCTAAGTAGATACTGCCTTCATCGGAATGGGGTGCATGCAGACGGGCAAAAGCAATAACACCGCTACCATAGAATGACGACCCAAGCTGAAGGCGATATTGGTTGCGGTGTGAGAAGTGGCATGAATAGGTCAAAGAGCAAGCGACTAAGAGCAAAACTAGTCCTGCTGAATACTGGGTCCTTTCTTCCATGTGCGCGCGGCTGGGGTCCCTTCATACTAGTAGTAGTACTCCGTTAGTAGGGGGTGGGAACATTTTTTGGAAAATTAATTCGACGATTTGTGATGTGCCTAAAGGATAGCGCTAAATTCGTAGGGGTATCGTTGACTAGATAGATACCATCTATGGGGATCAACACTGCATTCACTCGAAGCCACTAATCTCCATGGCTTCGTGGTTAGCAGCGACAAGCGGATGGGCCACCAGGACTTTTCACTGGACATCCGGACAACCTCAGTCAGACTACGCCGGAGTTGGTCAAGCCAGGTTACCCCTAGCCATTTTGCGGTCAATTGTGAGGATGAGCCACATGGTTTGGCAAAATGGTCGACATGCTAAATTAAAATTAATCTAACATCTACCGAGGGGGGGCACTCCATGGATTGATGCCAAGGAATAGCATGATTGTTGGATTATTGCCGAGCTCTGAACAGACCAGTTTGATACTAGTAGATTCATGGATGGGATGATGACTACGTAGTTTTAAAATTACCACGGAGTTACTTAGGGGAACATGGCAGGGTCGGACCCGAGATGATGAGGAGGAGATGGCGAGGAATGGCGGGCGATGGAGACTCTCAAGAAGATGGCCATGGCTGATCGACATCCATAATCCATCAACCGTAACTCAAAAGCCCCCATTCCAGGTTGGTGCCCACAGACAATGGGCTTTTCCAATCAAGACAGCCTGAGCGTGTGTTACCATCCTCATCTGGGTGTGCATCAAGCAAGCCTGAGCTCCTGATCAACCCTTTCCCTGAGGTTGTGAAACAGAGGACACACTTCTGACACCAGCAGGTGCCCTAGTCTAGCGTCGCCCTCATCCTGCAGGGCCAACTAAGACGGCAGGACGGCCAGAAAGAAAGTGATGAGAAAAGAAAATAAAATAGCAAAAAAAAGAAAACCACGACAGGTCACGTCGCCAACCCTATGACCAGTCATTCCTCATCCCTCTGATAGGTATGCTGATGATATTATTCCGGCTGATCCTCAAAGAGCAGTGCACAGTCAAGGGATGGGGTGTGGGGGTTCGGGTCTATTGTACCTGCTACTTACTGTGTCATGTATTATTATGCTACTGTATCCTCGCCTTTTGGTTGCCTCGTCTCTGGGGCACGGACGGTGTCCTGGTCCTGATCTTCCCATCCCTGGTTCTATTGCTGGGATCAATGTCCCGGTGGATGAGGTCGAGTCAGTCCACTACAGCCTACAGGATCGATCGCATGACGAAGCGCGTTGCATTGTGTGTGTGTGTGTATGTGCGCGCGCCAGTCCCGCTGTGCCAAAGAAGGCATCCCCCGATCGGAATGGCTGGTAGGGGTCAAGAGCTAAGGAAGACTAGTGAGCGGTTGATGGCTTTGCCAAAGCGTACCGCCCAGTCAGTATCCCGGTAGACAGTATCCCGTGGGATCTCCATCCTGCGTTTATTACCTAAAGCTGTGCCGGAGATAGCGGCTAACTACTACGTAGTAGTGTTGTCGACCTTCAGGAATGAACAAATGCCCCCAGCTAGTCTAGTGTATTAGTGCAGCATCGTCAAAAGGTGACTGACAGAACTGGTTTTTCTCCGCATCGAACCATCCACGCAGAAACGAATGGTTTGGGTCGTGACCCGTTTTAATGGGTGGAGGGTGGATGATCGTAGGAAAGACGTAAGTAAACAGCGCGGACAAGCGCTATCCGGAACTATTGCCATCAGTGGATCCCTCGTTGGATTTAGGTCCCATGTCCTGGGAGCGCCCGACCGATCGCCGTAATTGGAGATTCGCTAGAGCCTAGAGGAAGTCATTCCGAAACTGATTATCATGGACCCCATTCTTATTCGCCAGACCAGCAGAAAAGGGCCTCTGGTTATCATTTCCCACTCTTGCTGGATGGAGCGCCTCCAGACTCACTATCCCGGAGGTGGAAGGCAGCTAAGTCCAAACCTCGTAAACCCGATGAATGCCCTTCCCCCGATTTTCGGATGGTTGCCAAGCCAGCGTGCTAGATGGAGTAGTGTGGCCTAGCAGTAAAAGTAGCAAGTCGGGTGGGTACCAGGCCATGTGTGCAACTAGTAGTTCGTTGATGTACGACGTAGGTACAGGCACCTGGAGAGAAGGGGAAGAAGGAGACTGGGGGAGGAAATATGTAGGTGTTCCCAGTATCCAGGTTGAGGGGATCGCAAGGAATCAATCAATGGGTCGAAGTATGTATCTACCTACCTAAATAGTTTAAACCAAAAAGACGGGCATATATGATTGATGACAACACCTACACTCTGGAGAACGATCCCGTCACGATAGAACTCGACTGCATGATGATGATGATGATGATGTTGAGCCACCTGACATGTTTTTGTTTGGGGAGATTTGAAATCATCCTCAGGCTCTGTAGCCCCCCGTAGTACTGGAAAATCACTCCCTCCCTTTTCCTTCATCCAATGAGAATCCTTTGAATGCGGTCCTTTTCCCCGGCCGATTGGCGCCCTTTTTGGGGATTGCCACCATTGACCAAATCATATTTCTACACGAGCTCGAGGCGTGGCACAGTGCATCCTAGCTTATGTAGGATAACATATCTGGGAACCTATCATCAGATCAGTTCGGCTGCTGGCTATCCATTTCAGACAGACCTCAGGCTTCTGGCAATGCGCACCGTGCGTGGCCAACATGCCGTCGCCGCCGCCGCCGCCGCCCGGGAGGAACGGGCAAAAGTGGGCGCTTGGTTCCCTTTTTTCCTCTTCTTTCTTTTGCATATGTATAACTACGTAGTAACTAGTCAGTAGTAGGAGGGAGGGGATGGGAACGCCCCGTAGTAGTGGCGCATGCGGAAATGAATGAAGATGGAATTGCGGTCACTCATGCACCAAGTGCGTTGGGGGATTGTTGAAATGTTGGCACACGGGATGCCCTATCTCTTCTGACTACTGACTACGGACTACTTCCTGTATAATCCGGTGCAGGGGCAATACGGAGGGACACATAGCAGGAACTCCCCTCCCATTACTCGAATAGGCCACCTGCGTTAAGCGTGCAGAGGGGGGAAAAAGGCACCGTATCCTGTGCCCTGCATGGGATTCCGAATCCTGATTCCCGGATGGGAAATGCCACTGACATCTCCCCATGTTTTCTTCACACGCATGAAAGAGATTTAGAAACTGGCTGATTTTAGGTTAGATAGTTATTGAATTTGTTTGATAATGAACTACAGTAGATATGATTTCTACAGTATACTTATCCCCCATTTTCAACTCTTTATTTTCTTTTTTTGTCGCTGACTGACATCCTTTCCGTCATGGCGTTAAATGGTACTTGGATCAGCCAGAAAACCCCCATGTAAATAGTGTGGTCTTCTCTCTCCGGAGTACTCTCACTACTTACTGCACTCCATCCAGTCTGTGGTTTGGAACGGGAACCACACCTTCATTTAATTACAATGATCTACTATACAGTACCGGCTAGTACTAGTTGATACTAGTGGTGGGGGTTTGGTAACAGCGACCGAACTCGTGTCTGCTGCTTTTTTACTTACGTCGCCCCCCCCCGTTCTGGCCTGTTTGGTTCGACATTCTTGGGGAGGGGGGGCGATGATCGCCTGTTAGATCCAGACGACCCTGTCATTGTGCGGCATTTCTTCTTCTGTCAAGGATAGCGCCACCTGCCGCGTCCACTGTTTCTGTTGACGCTTCCCTTTTGGATGCTAGTCTACAGTTCCAAATCTCTCTTTCTCTCTCCCTCCTCTCTCTCATCTCTCTCGGGGGATTTGAAGCACCTGATAACTGTAATATGTATGATGGAGGAATAATTACTAAGTACATCGTACATACTCATTGGTAACAGTAGTTGACTGGGTCGATAGTCATTCCCCGTTTGGTACCAACTTTTGATACCATCTACTAGTTACTACTATTATCTGCTAGGACGATCCGCTCAGACAACAACCTACGAGATACTAGTAATCTAGCAGCATTTCCCCCATCTTCTCCTTTTTCTCTCCTCCGACCACCCGCCTGTCTTGAACCCATTTCTTCCAATCACCATTCACATGGTGCCTGCCCGCGTTACCTAAACGGGGAAAACCCAACTTCCCGGACCGGAGCAAGACCTTCCACCGACCGACCTAACTAACTAACTAACCTAACTAACTAGCTGAGCTAGCCATGACCCAAACCACACTCTCTGGTCGCGTTCATTTCCTGGCCCAAGTCTACGGTACACCGTCCGTGGCGCTACTGGATGCATCTGGAGCCGGGCAAATCAACTTAGCGCGCTGTCTCTTCGGTTTTTATTTGTGCGAATCCCCTCTGTTGGCTCCTCTCTTTGGTCTCGCTCTCGCTCCATTTAGCCACACATAGCGGACATGCAACAAGGGCCACATTATCTACTATACTAGTACTAGTCCTCAAGAACGTGGGGACTTTCAGGATTGTGGAATACGGAGAACTAGGGAGTCCAGTGACTCAGATTCGGTGGGGAAAAAGGTAGGCACTGCCAGCCCAGAAAAATGGCACGGACACTGACTGGATCCTGGGACCGGACCCAGACCGGTCGGGTCGGTTTCGTTCCTCCCACTCGCCTTGGATACGAAGCAGTACGTCCACGTAGGTAGGAGAGAGAGAGAGAAACATGCCTGCTTAGTATGTCGAATCATCTGCCACGCAATCAATCCCATTCTCCTTTGCCTGTTAGGATGCAATTATTACTATTACCTACTTATGAATATCTTTCCAAGACATGATCGCTTGAATACCCAGTGACTAACGAACTCGATATTAAAGATGTGTCATTCTATGGGGTTTAATTAACTACTATCCGCTCTCAGTCCAGTCTACCTTTTCTTTTTCTTCGCTCTCTCTAACCGAACCCGTCCCGGGGCGCTGGTTCGGAATACGAGGCTTCGTTACCCATCAGTAAGGGATGATGACAACTAACTGGAAGCTGTAGGTATGGATTCGAGCTATATGCCTCCTAGTTCCATGCTGGGGCACCTTGGATTGGACACTACTGTAGAGTTAGCTGATGAATGCGCAGGATCCTAGACTGCCAACATAGCATAGCATATAGCTTGAGAGCCTGTCTGGAGTGCAGCAAGTGAACCTTTCATTCTTCTCTATGGTTGCCTCCTGCTTTGGGTCGCTGATCATCAACTTGGCTGAACAGGACCTTCATCGGAGTTACCTGGATCAAGTAGACTTTTGTTACCAGTCACCGTGTCGTAGTAGTAGTACATGAGGTGCATCCTCACTTGACCATCGGCCCATGTATGCACCAGACACCCAAGAGTTTGATCTTTCCCCCGGTGGCTCTTGCAGCTGCATGCAATACTATATGTATGGGTCCTCTCTCGGTAACCATTTGAGTTTCTGGGTATAGTAAGGGCTTCCTCGTCACAACCAAAATCCTGTCAGGCAGGCAGGCAGGCACGGCTTGTATGAAGCCAAGTCTGTCGCAGCTTCCTAGTAGGTCCTGTTACGGGATGGATTGACCATGCAAACGGAGGTCACTTCTCCAAGATCCCTCTTTACTCTCGTTCCTCATCTCTCAACATGCAAATTGATCATCCACCATCATGCGATATCCACTAACACACATAGTGCCTGAGGCTCGAGAGCAACCCAGCTTAGAGTTTCCTGGCACTGGGTCTGTCATTGTTGGCCCACCGCCTCCGGAGGAATAAATGTCAGCAAGCCAGCAAGCAAGTCACCACCACCACCGGCCTGTCAACGAGGGTTACCTGACGATCAAAATCCAAGTCGTGCCGGGTAATCGAGGAATAGTGCGATCTTCCACTGTGGTAGAGCCTATTGTAAGACTAGTCTTGATGGATGCTTTTTTTTTATTCCCCTCCCCCCGGTCTTCCAGGGTGGAATTGAGTTTCGACAAGCACCCACCGGTGCGATCGTCTACTGCTCACCCACTTTGTCGGGACCTTACTATCGGACCAGTCCCTTACCACCCGGTCTGGAAGGACGATCTCCTACCAGAATTGCACCTGCTTTTGACCAAAGATGAGCCGCAAAACCATGCTAGTAACGGGAAAAAAAGGCCCAAGAGTCGTGCTCGCGCGTCTGTCGGCGCTTCCGTGGGTGGACTCGCCGGGCAACAAGAAGATAGCTCAGATTCACAGCCCCAGCAGTAGCAGCAGCAGCAGCAGTCGCCTATGGCTTTTGGATCTGCTGGGGATCTCCCGCGAAAGTTTTGGCGACGGTCCAATATAAGCTCTAGGAACGGTGCCCCCCTGAATCCTGACAAAGTTACCGACAATTCCAGTCGATTCAACTCTAAACATTTTAGAGTTGGGCAGGGCTTTATTGGTTTTCTCCTAGCGACCTAGTCCGGCCCCTACTGCTGCTTTGGCCTGAGGGCTCTTAAGATGATCGCCGTCGTGTGGGACGCTTTCTTCCCTATTGTTCCGCTCTGATTTCCTTTTTTTTCTTTTTGGTTTTTTTTCTGATTAAAATTGTTATTATTATTATCGTTATTATTTGCCCACCCCCTTCCCTGCACCCAGTCTCCACGCCCTTCGTATTCGAGCGTGCGTGGCATAGGCACGGTATATGTCATGGAGGACCAGGACCATTTGGGGCTTTGGGGGGAGGGGTGGCTTTGGTTTAGGAAGGGAAAGCTCCGCTTCTGCCTTCTTTCATCCCGATCGAGCATCCCCGGGGGATCCCTGCTGGCACATTGGAGCAAAGACTTTCTGCACGGATCCCGACGGAGCCTGACTGGAACCGTCGACCGGTCCAGTGGAAGACCTCGAATCTAGACATCGACGCTGCCTTGCTGACAGGCACGTTAAGTCTTTTCTTTCCTTTTTATTTTGATTTAATTATATTTTTCATTTGACTATCATTATTTTTATTACTATTATTTCTTTCCTCCTACCAGAAAGTCGATCAACTGGGCACATGAACGTCAGCGGTCAGTCGGAACCGTGGAGCAGGGTTACTGAGCAGACGGCCATCTCTCCTTGAACACCGGCCGCAGTGGCGGGAGCGACGGAGGAGCCGACGAGATGTGAGCGAAGCAGGCAGACTGGTACAGAGGAAAGTTGACGCGGCGCACAGTCCTCCTCTTGGGCATCTGGTCGTCATGCGGTTCCGTCTACTCGTCACAGGCCACCACGGGTTGCGCTGTCCTCTACTGGTTATGAATGTTCTATGGAAGCTGACGAAACCAGTGGTCTTTGGTCTTATTGTTGAGAGGGTTCTATTGGGTTGGAAATAGGTCACCGGTGCGGCCGGGATGGATCGTTGACGACTAAAGTGCGGGTATGATGATGGGCGGTGATGATGACAACCGAGGTCATCGATCATTTTCCCTCACGACTATCCATGTGTGTGCGCCATGTTTCTATTTCTCTCGGCTCTTCCATTCTCCCCTTTTCTTTGTGTCTGCCCTCCCCTCATCCGGTAAGTGCTTGGTTTGAGCATGATATTAGTATGACCCCATTTTAAGGGTTTTATTGTGAGTGTGCGTTGTGGTGTAGGCTGGATATAATGACTACGAAGACTGGGATGATCAGAGCCCGAGGGAAGTGTCGGAAGAGGATAAGAGAGGGGAGGGGAGCTACTGTGAAAAGGCGCGCGCATATGGGCCGCAGAGCTCGGACCGCGTTTGCCAGATTGGGAGGGTCACGAAATCCAGCCGGAGGAGGCCCAAAGGGAAAGAAAAGAGAGAGAGAGAGAGAGAGAGACAGAGACAGAAAGATGGGGAATGGAGCAGTTGCCGGGTCGAGCGCATACCCGATTCGATGTGTAGCAATTGGATGGGATGCAAGTTGCTGGGGCGTCCCAAATCTTCTCCAGACCCTCTTCTCACTCTCTGGGACCAATCCGAACGGGTGCCGCCTTGACGCCATGCAATAATCACCCGTCCTCTCACAACCCCCGAGATCTGAGCCCTGGGAAGAGGAGGCGGCCGTTTGATTGAGTTGTCCTTTTTTGTCTTTTTGGTTTTACTTTCTTGCCCCTTCCTCCTTCCGTGAGCTAAGTTAGGTATGTTACTGGGATGATGGTGGTCGTACGGGTTTCAGGAACCTGATGTTTGATTTGGATGGGCTATGACGATAGATAGGGTAGTATTGGAGAGGGGGACGAAGTATGTATGGGTGTGTATGTAAGTAGTAGTTATGTAAGTAAGTGTGGTGGTTTGCTGGCTGGGCTTACTAAAGATCGCCCACTAGGGAAATATTAGGTAAGTTAACTAGCTACTTAGTTAGTTAAATGGCAGCTGCTCGATGACGATGTGAGAATGGGTGATGATTTAATAGTGCAGCGAGAGAGAAACAAGACCATGGAGGAGAGGAACAAGAGGAAGAGAAACTGACTAACCCCGTATTGTTACTGAATTGACGGATGGGGGATAGGGCCGTCCACTACTCCGTATACCATTTTCATCTTTCATTTTTCGTTTTTCATTTTTTAGTTTTCTTTCTTTCTTGTTGTTGTCAGTCTATCTGAGTGTGTTATACTATTTAGTGGCTGTAGTATACCATGTTGAATATTACTTGATTCTTAAGAACACTCCCATTTACATATCTTACTACTTAGATACTGAGCAAAAGAGCTGGTCGATCGACTCTGCCCGAAAAAGGCAAAAAGTGGATTCTTTTTAGATTTCTGGGCCTCCCCGATCCATGACTGACCGGTGCACATCAAATCAAATCAACTTACAACTTACTCTCTTTTCGTCAGGGGCGGAGCCGTGGTTGAAGTGACCGCTTTTGCCCCACCCCTGCAGCCAACCCCTCAATCAGTTCCAGTTCAGTTCTTTTCAGTTGAATGGAGTTGTGGGAGTGTATCATGGGATTGATTTCATGGTTCTACCTTTCATATGATCAGGAGGAATCAATAAGAAGGGATGAGAAACATAACATAGCAAAACATGATTGGGGGGTTTCCATATGACGTTTTTGCCAATTGGCTGTTATGTAGACCTCTACTACTACTAGTAGTAACAGAAAATGAATGCGGAGAATGGCAGACGACCCGATAAGATTCCTCAACCATCGACCATCATGGAGAAATCAAGCAATCAATCAATCGGTCAGTTAGTCGGTTAGTCAATCAATCGCTCGCAACATTCCTGAGTGAGTCCCCTCTCCCCTTCCACCCTCCATCCCTCTCTCTCCTCTCTCCGCTATAGGATGATGACCCGGTGGATATCTTGACAACAACACTTCATAGCGCTCCGCCCCCCCCTCTCTCCTTCCTTTAGTTATCGAGGCGGTGGGATGGGCATGGGATGGTCATCCCGACCGTGCACGGTAGTCATTGAGCCGCCAGGAATACACGCTCAGATGTAGTTAGTTGGTTAGTTAGTTAGTAGTAGCTCTGATCCCTCATGGGGCGTCTGTCCTCCCGTCGAATTATTTCCCGCCTCCTGTGTTTCTTTCCCACTTCCCCCCTCCCAAAAAGAGGTGTAGGTAATAGTAAGTACGTAGTAGGTCCAGGCGGCTCACGCCTAACTTGACACAGCCTCCCCCCCCCTCTCGTTGAATCCTTCCTCTCCCAACCGAAAATCCCTCCCGCACTAAGTAGATATATGATGGCATTAATCCCTCGTTAATCGTGGTCTCCTCTCCCTCTCGTTCCTTCTCATGGGCTTATGGCGGGGGTGATAGTCGTGGAAACATGTCTGGTTATTGGTGAACTACTGCTTTTTTTACTAGCTAGTGGGTAGTGACTCCATACGATCTACTGTGATAAATCCAGGATTCGAGAGTAGTCGGAAGGATATACCAGCCAGGATGGCTTTTGTTATGTCCATAGCTAGCTTGCTGTTCGTTTCCCCCCTACGCGGCTCGCGCACGCTCGTTCGATTTACCCCGGCTTTGGCTGACATGCCTCCCCCTTCTACTACTCCTTCTAGCTAGTTTAGCTAGCTAACTTAGTTACCTACTTTACCTACCTGCCTACCTACCTAATATCGTACTTAAAATCACACTGGCGCATACTTAATTAGCCCGTATCCTTTCTCTCTATATCTATGGTCTATATCTGATCATCCCTCCCCTCTCCCTTCTCTCTCCCCTTTCCCACACACCCCCCCAAGACTTATTTGCACTGCGCGTATCCTTTACCCCGAGTCTATCCGTCATTCCCATCTCCAAACCCAAACCCCCTCATCCGATAATAACCCGATAATTTCCAATCCCATGCCCCGTTTATCCATCCTTCAGGTACCTGCGATTCACCACACCGTCCTGGGGCGTCCGTCTCATCTTGTATTTCGTCTCGAATTGGCGGTCCCTTAGCGATCCCCCCGATCCACTCTCCCGTCCCCTCATTAACCTCCTTCCACCCACCCCTCTTTCATCAATTTTGACTTTCACTTGTTCTACCTAAATCTTAAAATCTTCCCCCCCTACTCTTCTCGTCTTGAATCTCGGATTGTTACATGACTTGTTCCCCACTACTGACTGTTTTCCCTGCATTGGCGTCTTTTGGAGGATCTTATCTTGGTCATCCTTACATTTCCCAAAGTTTACGAGTCTATCTGGAAGGGAAAGCAAGTGAAAGAGCCGCAAGTTAAACCGACGTTGACAACAACAACAGCAGAAGAAGCAGCAGCAGACACAGTGGGATAAGAAAGAAGACGCAGTCCAAGTTGAGTTGATTGTGTGTGTGCAACCAGGCCGATAAAGTCAACGTCACTCCGCTGCCACGGCTAAGGTTGGGACCTACTTTTAGTAGTTACCAGCAACTCAAAACCAAACCAACCCCAGCAAAGTGAAACGGGGTACCTGCTTCTCATCATCCCCGCCAGCGTGGATTCACACTTTCTTCACTACTACTACTCCTGGTAAGTCAGTTGCTCTCTTGTGTCTGTCGCTTCTTGGGAAGTATGTACCAGGATTGGATCAATACCACAATACCACACACACATACCCTGTGCCAACACATACATTCTCCTATCATGACTGTCCAGTGTTATGCCTATTTGTTGTTCTTTCCTGCGAGATTGATCTGTAGACATCCATGACTACCAGATGTGGTTTGGTGGTGGATGTTTGGATTATCTCAATTTCCCCCCTGTTCCTCCTTCGATCCTAGTTCCTCCCAAAGCCTATCTTGTGTCATACTCTTTTCTTATGCTTAACTAAAACTACCATTTGACTGGATCTGCAATTTGCATCGACTGGATTCCCCAGTGGATCTGTTGATATTCGTTCTGTATTTTATTTTCCTCTTCGTGTTTTGTTCTTTACCTTCTATTTTTGTTTCTATTTCTATACTTCTTATGATTTTTATTTTTATTTTTTTTTCGCCCCATACCCACACTAGCCCATTCTTACCGTCTGTTGTTCGATGTTGCCTCCCACCCCCAAGAAGAGTGTGAAGCAGGAGAGATGGGTGCGTGTGGTGTGGTGCGCATCTTTTGGCGAAAAGGAATGAAAGATGGAGCCCGCCGATGGCCTCTGCCTCATGGCCGGAGAGATCCACCGGCGGCGGTGCTTCTGGCGGGCTTGTCCTGCTCCTTGGGATCACTAGTTGCACCCACACCCCATCCGTCCTTCCCAATTTCTGCCTCCTCCCTCTCTCCCCTCTGGCACTGCTCGGGCCTACCAGTCTGGGTCGCCCCGCCTGCAGCCCGGTCGCTCTTCATGACGGAGGATGTTTTTTTTTCTTCGCTGAACATGTCCTTCCCTCCGTCTGCCTGGCCGTTTGGCGTTCCCTGCAACCCGCACCATGCCCGGCTCTGGTCTAGTTGGACTGGCCATGGTAATTTTCCCTTCCCTTCCCTGGTTTTCCTGATCACCAGGAAGGGGGAGGGGGGGGATGAGGGCCGCCTCTTTTCTTTTCCTTATTTGCTTACCTACCTTCCCTGTTGGTTTTTTGCTTCAAAAAAGGAAAAGAAAAAGATAGATAATTATTCCTTATGTTTAATTGTCTCTTCGTGTTATTTTCGATGATTTTTTATCTCTGTTTTTTCTCTACCCGGACAACTCTTTCTCTTCCCTATCTTTTGGAAGGGAAAGGTGTGAGAGTGAGAGGAAAGGGTAAAAAAACACGAAGCTTCTTACAATACCATACATGGGTACCCTGCCAATGTTCTGGGAATTGGGATGATTTTTTGGCGTTATTTTTTTCGACTTTTTATTTTTTTTTGGCACTGCTGCTCTTCCCCCATACAACTATTCCATTGGGATGGGATTGCATTCCTTTTTTTTCTTTTTATTTTTTTTTTTCGCTCTTATTTTATTTTTCCTAATTTTTTAATTTTCGTTCCCTTTTCCTCTTTTTTTCCTTTTTTATTTTTTAATTTTCCCTCTTCACTTTTTTTATATTTTTTTTATTTTCTCTTCCCTTTTTTTTTTTTGTTTCCTAATTTATTATATACCTGATTTTCCCTTTTCTGATTTATTTCTATCTGCCTCTTTCCCCGTCTCGTTCCACGGATGTTTAAGGTCAACTATTGTCCCCTCTTGTCTTCCGAGTCCACCACACTCCTTCCCTTCAAGCATCCCCATTCACTTTGAAACATTCCTGGTCTCTACTTGCCTTTGGAAATTCATCGCACTTCGTTTCTCGCATGGCCCGGGTGGCTTTACGTGAAGCTCCAAAGTGGATAAATCGGCTTACATACCTGCTCCGAAACAGGCACCGAACAGCTCATACGGCGTAAGCTGAGCTGGTCTCCCTCTCTTTCCCTCATCACTATCGCTTCTCGCGCAGTGGATTGTTGCCCATTCAACAATTCCCGAAACTCCGCCTCCTCTTGCGCAGCAGCATCAGCAACAGCCTTTTGGGTTGAAGAGAAACTCCCGCGCCCAGGGTATTTAAACTCCCTGTCAAAACGGGTTTCTCCTTGCAAGCAGAAAGCTTGGGAATTCCCGCAGCTGGTTTGGTTGGAGACTCAACCTACCTCGATCCGATCGCTTTCCGTGGAACCGGAGCTCCAGTCGACCCAGCTGCACTAGGGCCAGACGCTGCTCTCCAGATCCAACCCTTTCCCTGTGCGAGGATTTGGGAAAAAGGACGGGCCCGTGCTCGCTGTCGATCCGGCTCGCCCAAGTCTGGTAGTAGCCCTTAAACTCAGAAGGAGGGGGGCGCTTTAAACTCGCGCCATCGGCCCTCTTCTACGGTTCAACCATCACCGTCAGCTCTCTCGACTTGTCATTCTCTCACCTTCGCACCAGAGGTTCCCACTCCTCGTCTTCCCCCCAAAGGTTATTTGCCTCCCCCTCCCTGCTTTTCTGGAGTCCCCCGATTCACTCCCTTTTCCCCCCTCCCTCCCCCCATCCCATTCATTTTTTAGCTCGGGACATCGTCCTAGCTTTTTCTGCAACGGCCGATAACAAAGAAAAGAAATTCTGACAGCCTGTCAGGCGGGATTGTTCTGATCCTATTCACTGCTATTCTTCCTCTGCTTGGTGTCGAAACGCCAGTGTCACCCTGGCCAATCCGTCTAGCCGAGTTACTGGGAAACCTTGATCAACGGTGGTGTTAACCTTGATTGATTTTACCTCTTTGCCCCCCTTTCAACTAGGTTCGAACCTACAAACAAACGCAAAACAATGGTCAACGGCACCGCTACGGTGTTGGAGCCCACCTTTACGGGATACGTCGCGACAACACAGGATGCGCTGATTCTTTTCGAGGCCTGTCTGACGGGAGTGCTGCACCATGTGCCCCGTCGGCCTCACGATCGCGAACGTGGTCACCTGGTCCGCAGTGGCAGTGTGTTCATCTACGAGGAGAATTCGTCGGGAATTAAGCGATGGACGGATGGAGTGACCTGGAGTCCCAGTCGAATTTTGGGCAACTTTCTCGTCTACCGCGAACTGGAAAAGCCATTTCCTCCCGGCGAAAAGAAGCGAGCGATGAAGAAGGCCAATCGACGCCCGGTGCCTTCCACGAGACCTGGGGAGCCGTATCCGCGACAGGACAGCAACGGCGGCTATTCGCCGTCTTCGACACCCGGTCAGTATCCTGGAGACCGACCACACCAGTCGGACGTGGAGAGAGCGTTGGTGGGCTCGCTGGTGGACTCGTATGGCTTCAAGGATTCGGGACTCGTGAAGAAGACGATGAGTGTGACGGTTTCGGGGGTGACACACCACCTGGTCTCGTATTACAGCGTGGAGGACGTGATGCGCGGGCTGTTGAACCCACCATCGATGGTCGACTCGCTGCGGTACATTCGGCCTCGTGCAGAGCTGACGCAGAAGCAAAGCTTCCGGGCACCCATCGATGACTTGGAATCAGGAGGTTTAGAGAACCCGAACGACCCCCATACGATCTACGGATACCGACCTCAGTTGGTAGCACCGCCCGGGTATGCGATCCCCAACCCTCATCCCGAATTCTATATGCACCCCGCGCCGTATGCTGCTACGCATGCTCCGCAGACTGCGGCCATCCCGGGATACTCGATGGCAGGGTCGATTTCGGCGCAGCCAGCTTCCAATCCGTATCTCCCCGCGCCGTCTGCACCTACCCAGATCCCGCAGAAGCCAGACGACTACTCTCAATTCCGGACACCCACTCAGTATGGAACGAGCTTCGATGCTCTGGGTCACAATGCGCTGTCGTCGTCGATCCCTTCTGCACTCAATACGGGCATTCCGAGTTCCTTGAGCGATCGCAACCGATCCCAGTCGGATCACAGCCCTTCGGCCTATCGCAACTCGTCAATATCCTCACGCAGCGTTGCGACCGACGCGACCTCGCCCATCGATCCGGCCACACCGGCCACATATTCACGGGGAGGAAGCTTCAGCCTGGGTCCGCTTGATGGTCCGCATCAACCACTGGAACAGCGTGGCATGTCTGCGTTTGATCCGGGCATCCCGCGCCGGGAGTCGAACCCGATGCATGCGCCTTATTACCCGGGCGCAGACCGGCATCCGTACTACGTGAGCGCTACCGCGCCAGCAGCTCATGCCAATTACCCCGTGTCGACATGGGCAGCGGCTGCTGCTCCGGCGCAGCCTCAGATATGACTCTGAATTCTCCAGCGACCATAACTTGTGGTTTTACCCTCGCTTTAACTTTATTTCTCACACCCCCCTCTTTATTTTCTTCCGTACGAATTTTATTTTTCTGTTGTTTCTCAGAAGGGCGGCAATTTGGGAATAGACTATGCATATACGCTGTGGATGAATACCCGGGTGGGAAAACGCTCTTAGAGGAGACATGGGTGGCTTTTTCCTTGTTGCTGCTGCTTCTGTTACCCCTACGATGATACGATGTCGATCAAAATACCTTCTTTTTCTATTATATTTTTATTAGCCTGTTCGCGGGTAGTACCCTGGGGGGTTTTCTGGGATTTATTCTGTGTTTTCGCTGTTTGGTGGTCTATGATTTGTTGCGAGTGTGGATTGGTTTTCTGTCTTTTTCATGCGATTATGAGCAATGGGACGGTTTTGGGTGGCATGGTTCTGGGGCGGCTATCTGTCAACACTTTTGTTTTTGTTTTGTTGTTCGTGCTACGTGCTACTCTACGTGATGCTCATTGCTTTTGTGTCTGTGTGCTTGGTCCGCTATCATCATATCCTTAGTTGTTACATATGGGAGAAACCATGGGTTCTTAGTGGTGTACATGGAAATTATTTGACGAGATGATCCCATCGGTGATGCATACAACCAATCGATCGATCAATCAACAATCAATCAATCAATCAATCCTGTGTTTCAAGCTGATTTTGTTCTTGGCAAATATTAATGGGTTGTGGTTGTGGTTCGATTAGATGCTACGGAAGGGCTTCTTCTTGTCATGTGCGGGAAGGATAAGTTGGTGATATCATCAATTATCATCTCATCACATCATTGTCGGGGTCTAGACAGGATGATTATTCATTCACTCGTTCGGTTGATTGATCTATGAGAATGCAGTAGTTCGCTATCGCCACGGTTTTCTTGAGTTATATGCATATAACTTGTAAGATTCAATCAATCAATGGCCGACTATGCATACGATTCTTCTTCCTGATTGTGTACTTGTAGTAGTTTACATATACTACATAACTTGGAATAAATTTGAAGCCACTCAATATCCTAATGGTCTAGACCCATCTACTTACTACCTTACTAGCTAGTATATTGGTATGTGTTGAAAAAAAACAAGGAATTGAGTAGTAGTGAGAAGAGAGAGGTACATAGTGGATTGATTGTAATAAGGTAGTAATTAAGATCGAGGCGATCGATCGAATCGAACCGGGAAGTTTAAGGCAGTGGTAGTAGATAGCATGGATGGATGTGGATGGGGGATGTGGGAAATCGTAAATGGGTGAAGAAGTTTAATGTCACGGTGACACTTGACACTTGATACTTTGCTTTTGGCTGGATATCTCCACATCTTACCTCCACTTTCTTACTTACAAGGTGATCTAGACCACTTACTGTATTTCTCTCTCTCTCTCTCTCTCTCCCTTCTACTCACCAATATATTTGAGGGTTGTATATTATGTGCTGACTTGATAATTAAATAATTGTTATCTGGCTCATCTCTGACTCTGATAATAATGATGATAATAATGAGTTCATTGCAAGTTCTTAATAAGTACTTGTATGTTTGTAAGTAAGTATGTATGTAACTATGTAATTTATGTACTTGCTATATAGTCCTTTTCTCTAAAAATCAGTATATTAACACCTGAACAGCTCTCGTAAATATATAATCTATTACAGAATATATTGTTAGTAGTTAGTAGTAGTCAATTCAACTGGGTTAGGTAAATGTACGCATTTATACACATCATGATTTGATTGTATGTGTGTAAACTACATGTGGTAGGGTTGATCTTGTTATAGTTAGTTAGTAGTCTAGTCTAGTCTGTAGAGTTATGCTCTATATCCCTCAATCTACTATATACCCAGAACTATGAGGTTCGTATATACTATCAGTAGTAGTAGTAGTAGTAGTCACTTTAGTAAATACTCTTTTAATCTGTATGGTGGTTATGTGAGAGTTGTGAGTTGTAGATGGGTGGCTGGCTGTTACGTCACTACTTTCTTACTAAGAACCTTACGTGACAATACTGTAATACATGATACTATAAAACGATTACCGGGGTAGTGCTTACATAGTAGTTGTTGTTTGGTCGATATCGGTTTGTAGTCTGTCTTCCTCACCTTGGTTTTATTTATTTATCTCGAGTGCTATACTAGCAAAGTAGGTGGCGATTATGTAAGGGGTATGTTGAGGCTAGTTTGGTAGGTTAGAATCAAAAATAGTTGGTGGTGGTGATTAATTGTTCGGTGTATATACCTTCCTATTATCTAGTATTTACTATCTGTGTAGTTGTGACAGATTGTGCAGATTGGAGAATGATATTGAGGATTAGAAATTCATCTCGTAGTGGTCTGTGAGTGATAATGGTACTATAATGACGTATAGTATAAGTTGGAGGTGGAACTAGACAGTATCTTCACATTAAATTATATCACTGCGCATCACCCAATTCTATCAATCTTGTATGCCGGGTATCATGCTAGTCGCTAACAGAGACAAGACAATCAAATCAGACAGCCAACTCCATGCTAAAATGCTATTTATTATTTCCCTTGCTTCGTCGCTCCATTCGTCGCTCGGTTCGCTGCCCATTTCGTACATTGGTCACTTCCGATGTCACATGCGCGTACCTGCTGCTTGACCCATGTGCATTATCCAACAGTAATCGCATTGTGAAACTTCCCGGGTCGAATCCCGGTATTGCAGGAATGGGCTGGTTGGGGTTGAGTCCCGATTTGCCCGGCAGCAAGGCGGGGATCTTGTTAACTCCACGCAACGGTTCGATCATCGTCCAATCGCGGGTCACGTCGCGTCGGACTTCGTTGTCGTCTTGTGCGATTCCGCCGTCCGGGGAGATCTGCAGCAAACTCCGATGTCAGTATATATTCCTGCAGTTGACTCTTGATTTCCAATGTATGCTCAAGGGAATTGGGTACCACGTACGCCAGATGAAAACTTCCGCCCCGGCATATGCACGTAATCATCGAACGAGCTTTCTAGGGCCGCAAAGTTGAACCCCTTGTCTGCCGTGAGGGGCTCGAAACGCTGGCCCACTTCTGTCCGGAAATCCACCGGCCGTCGACGCACGGGCTTGTATCGCGGTAGGGCTAGCAGGGGCCCCGGGTAACTCGACCACCAGCATTGGACGACTGGATCGATGTCCAGCGCAAACTGAACTCGGCTCTCCGCGCGGGGTTTCGAGATCAGCATGGCGAAGGTGAACTCGCGCGGCAGGCCCGATCGCTGCAAGTTGTTCTCCTCCAGGGTCCACACGATCTCGCCGCCCTCAACGTCGAAGGCTCGGCCGCGCGGGCTTCTGAGCGATCGCACCGACCCCTGGATCCGCATCATCTCATACCGCTTATAACGTCCGTTCATGCCACCGCTGGGTGAGAGACTCGCGACGAGAGGGAGGTCAGAAACTCCAAGCGAGCCGCTGAGGCTGTAGTTCCATTGTAGGGTTTCAGGGGAAACGGCGCCGTAGAGGAGGTGCGGGGCATGCATGAGGAAGCGGGGATGGCGGGTCCGGTTGCTTGACGATGACTGCTCCCTTGCGCTCTGAACAGAGGCCCGAATGGTGGCTGCTTTGAAGCGATGGGAGAGTGTATTGGGCGAGTGGAAGACGAAGGTGATACCGAGGAAGTCCACGTGGTTGTGATCTTGGTTGGACACGGCGGGGCTGGCGTAGAACCCGTGCTGAAGACGCTGCACGTGTGCAGTAATGTACGCATCGCCTGGAAGGTGTCGCTCGTAGATACAAGCGCCATTCACGAGGAGACGGGGGTTGACAAGGTTGGGGTCCGGGGTGGCTGTTGGGTCAGAGGGTGGTTGCTTAGCTTGGCCGGCTGGCTTCAGGGGGGACGAAGAGTCCGGCGCTGGAGCGGCAGGACGGTCGATTGTCACCATGGCCATTGTAGGGTGTGCCATGGTGAAGGATGGTGTTTCTCCTCCATCGCGGTCATCCCGAATACCCATTGCGATATTGTTGTTGGATCTCCATCAGAAAGGAGTGCGGAGGAGGAGGTCGAGAGAAAAAGTGCTATGGTATGTCGAAGTGATGGGTGCGTTTTGCGGGTGGAATGCCCGAGTTTCGCGACCTTATCAGCGAGACCATTTTATCCAGCGTTGGGGAAGGACGATGACGACAAACGAGTCGACAGATGGACGAGGTTATATCAGGTGAGAGAGGCGGCGCGGGTCAGCTGGAAGTCTGCGATGGCCGCATGGGTCGCGGGCGCCAAGAGGAGCAGAATCAGTCGACAGCGATCATTACGAAGACCATTGTCAGGTGAAAGAAAAGGGTCTTTCGATGAGAGACTGACCTCGACGGAGGTGATGAGTTGAGGGAAGGGGAGGCAGCATGGAGGATGGTTGAAAATGAGATAGTTGTGGAGTCGGAACGAATGATGGAGGCGGATCCAGTCACGGGAACCTTATTTCCATTGCCCCCCGGAACTTCTTACTGCGCTTCAATATCTCCATTATCAGACGGCTAATCTATCTGATCTCAGACTATGCAAGGGGCCGCAGGTTGATCTCTACTAATCGCTACTAAAACAGCGCTAATCCAGATATCCAGCTCCTATAGTAGTCGCATCGCTATCAGCTGCTACAACGATCAGGAGATCCAGTTGATGCTATTAGGTCTGATCTTGCGATCTAAAGAGATCCAGTGTCTGCTTGAAAACCTGTTGGTTTGAGTCACCGTGTGGATCATAGGTAGATAGAGGGAGGCATCGCCATGAGACTCAACTACAGTTCATGACTAGCGTGTATCGTGATCTATAGCTAGCAAGGTTCGTTCACGGCATACCACCAAGCAGACAGAACAAACTTGCAATATCCCAATTTATTGAAATTGTCTGATTATAGAAACAGTTGCAATTCCTGACGGCCTGCTCCAGGCTGACTGTGACCAGAAGAAGTGTTGCTTGGGCAGCATTGGAGATTCGTATCAGGCTCTCTGACTACAAGCTACCACCGTTATGATAGAGAATGCCGTTATTGGTCTATTTCAATGAGGCATTTTGGCCGTGGAATACGTGTACAGACCGCTGCTTACAGATTCATCCATTCTCCCTAAATATAATACCGTCGTCTCGTGTCCGGTCTAGACTGCCAAGGCCCAGTCCAGCCACTATGCAGGACTCTAATACACTGAGTGAGAAGATGGAAGCGTACCAGGGTAACTCATGTTTCATGATCGACCGATGCTGGTTCGCAAGCAGTGTGTAGCTGGAATAAGCGCGTGTCGATCCATCCCAAGGACAAGCTAGCAACGGGCTAGTAGCACTTGATTAGCACGATGGGTTCGTGATTGACAGCACTCGATCACCTTCATTAGTCTGTGAGGAGCTGGCCCTATCACGTCCAACTCCATGCATCGAAAGATATACTCGGTACTGATTGTTGCACCGATCTGCTTCATTTCAATTGGCAACTAGATCTGATGGCAACGACACAGCATGGTTTGTTTCCTACTACAGTAGCTCAATCCTGCATTTTGTTCCACACAAGAGCGATGCCACAGCCTCATAGACACGACAATCGGGATTTGGTTGAGGTGAACCGGCAACGGATGCCGAAAGAGCAACGCCATTGTGGGGTACTTCCCTGCAGGTTATGCATATAGCCGTGCTATCCGAAGTTGAAAGAAAGCAGGGATTGTTGGTCATTGCGACTTTAGTTGAGAATCACATCGACAGCGGACAAGACAGTCTTGCTCCGGAAGGAGACTCGATTACACGACCAGCCTATACCCTTCGTCGAACACGTGGATCTGGCGGTTTCGCGGCTTGGACATCAACCACCATACATTCAGAGCGCATGCTAATCCGTCAGATGATGCAGATAGACGGGATACGTCGATTCAAGACACGGCAAGCCATAACATCGACACGAGGGTATAACGCCAGGTGAACTGTTCCAAAGAAACCGGATTGTGTCACCGGTAGCCGCAGACGCAGTTCCACGCCAAGAATATAAAAGGCAACGGAAAGCTATTGGCGGGTGGCTAGCAGCCGGGCAGGCTGGATCGTGGAAGATAGTAGTGGCTGGATTGAGATGCAGCGGCGCGAAAGACCGCGGACCCTGGCCTAGAGTGACCGGGCATACTTGGGGCTAGTGCCAACTAGGCACTCTCACCGAGCAACGTGCAGGCTGGCATCGCAATTTTGCGTCCAGGTGCAGGGAGCCACTAAGCATGAAGAAAGCCACAGTAGATAGATAGATACTCACAAAAATTGAGGAGTGAAAGCGAAGCAAGAGACCAAAAAATTACGAGCCACCCCGCGCTTTGCGTAGCTGCCTGAGCTGACCGCAAAGTGTGCATGGATCCGTCCGAGATTGCCGCTGCTATACTCAAGTTTTCACTTAAAGAGCACATGCACAGATCCAAGACTGGCGCTAATTACGTGTGGACTTTTGCATCCAAACCCCGCAGTCTGGAGTTTCTCCGGTGTAGGCGATGCAGTGCAGTGCCGTGTGATGCTCAGTTTTCCGAGCGCATGCCTGAAAGTAGCACCCTCAACCCTAGGAAACAGGTTGTGATAGTGGGGGATGTTCAAATATCAGTCTCGAATATCAGCCTAGGGGGGATCTCTGGAAAGTGGTAAAAGGTGTATATTGCTTAGTCCACTGGAAGCTCAGCAAGAGACAGATGGGGAGCTTGAGCTTGGGAGTGGAGGCGATCCGTGCAGGGAAGGGCTAGATTGATAGGTACCGTAGTGAACAGGGAGACGGCCATTATTGGTCAGATAAGTGAGGTTGTTGCCTGTAGGCAATAATCCTAAGGAGTCAGCTAGTGGCCCAAATGGTGGTTGGGTTGTTGCTTGGAGGAAAAAATGTGGGAGATGGAGGCCCAAGCGGTGTGATGGGAGAAAATGGAGCAAACAGGGAAAAAAGGGGAAATCAAGAGCACAAGGCGATCCGAAAAGGCCTCGGAATCCCAATTGGAAACGACACGAGTAGGGCGAGAACCGGCACCCATCAGATCTGACAGATCGCACCCGGTCGGCATGGCAGTCCCGGGTGAATCAGGTGTGGCTAATCGAGTCCAAGCTCCTGCCCAAGAAGGTTCAAGTTGTTTCATGGAAAGATGAGAACCAACCAGAGGCCACGGCCGGAAAAAGTACGCGGAAGGGGAAAAAAAAAATAGAGAGCGATCGTGCAACTTTGAACAGGAAATTGTGGCTGGACTTGCAGGAATCAGCAGCAGCAGCAGCAAGAAGCAAGAGCAGCAACAAGCAGCAGGCTTACTCCATAGTCGGTTCCGAGCCTGTGGCCAAACCCACTTGACTGAATCGTTGGCTGACTGGGTTTGGTAGGGAAGTGGTCGGCAGGCTGACTCGAGAGTGCCGGGGACCCCGTTCCGGAGTAGTGCCGATTGAGCTCAGAACCGAGAGTGTAAGAGTGAGAATGTGAGAGATCGTCACCCTCAATGATTGATTAATAATGATAGCAATAATTATAGTAATAATATCCGTTTGGTATCACAGAAAAAAGTAAATAGTACCCACGTTAGTAGAAATTACTGGAAGCTCCCCTGCGTCCCAGTTCACAAGTACATATCAGGCGTCCAGATAACTATCTACGTATATCTATTACTACTTATAGTAGTTAATTAACCAGCCAGATGAGCTCATGTCAGAGACAGAGCCTTGTTATGGATCACAATTAATCTTAGTACTTAACTAGTAGTGACTGTGATTAATAATGTAATAAGAGTCAGCTTCCTCTGCCAAGAGAAGGATGATGATGGATGATGGATGATGACGAGGATAATCTACGAGATGGTGAGTTAATTGTCTTATTATATGAGATGGGCAGCAGCAGCAGAAGAGGAAATAATCGAGTCGAGGTTGTTTCGGACTAACCGAAAAGAGACCCCGCTTCGAAATTTCAGATGTTTAAAACTTAACGCCGGACAGGAAGTAAGTGGAAGTAAGAGAAAAAGTAGGCTTATCTCCGACCCACCGTTAAGAATGATGACAAGCAGCCCAAACAAACAACCCAAACATCAAAGTCAAAACGAGGAAAGTGCGCCAGGAAGATGATTTCCTCGCTGAATCCGCGTCGCTCCTTCCGCTTCCAGAGCCATTCGGGTCCAGCCGACCCCTGAATCCATGGCTCCCGTGACCAATCACATTTCTAGAAACTGACATCCGTGGACCTCATCTTGACTCATGAGTAAAAAAGAAGAACAAGATGAAAAAAAAAGACCCACCGCAGTTCACCCGATGGAAAGTCCAGCTTTCCATCGCCTTCTTGCTGCAGTTCCAATTGTCAGCAAATCCACTCCTTCGATTCAGTTCCGCTACCTGGTCCTTCCGTCTCTCTGCGCTCTCTGATTGCTTGGTTAATTCCGTTTGCTTGTCGTCGCCGCCACGGATATGGACCCTGGTCCGTTTCGGGTCCATTTGGCATGGCTACAAGCCGAGTCTATTGTCAATGCTCGTTTGCAATCCTGACAAATCCGCCTCCAATCTTGCCTGTCTTTCTCCAGTTCTTCCCTCATGAATAATTTTTTTTCTCCAAAGTGGTCCCGCGGCGTTAGCGTCTGATAACGCCGGCGCCGCCAATATCGTTTATACCCGTGATGCAACGTCCTTCCCTCCTCCACTGACTTATTTATTATCTTTCCCCCCCCCCCTCCCTAGTGTCAGTGGATGGCTCTTGTTTCTTTTTCCCTTTGAGTCGGTTACGGTCTTTCTTTCTTTTCTCCTCCACCCTCACCCTAATCTCCACTCCTCTCAAGGCGTGTGCTGGAGCTCCTGGAGCGCCCCAGTTCCGTGCCGCATCAACCCTCTACATACCCCCCTAACTGCACTAATCATCGTCTTTATCTTTGGCTGTACATATCTTCCATACATACTCCAGCTAAACGTTGAACATCCCTTGCCTTCCGTATTTGTGGCATTACCTATTAATATCTATTTATTATCCCTATCCTTTCCCCGTTCTCCTTTCTTCGATCGGAGTTTTACACCCTCAAGAATTTTCCTGGACTCGCCCGTTTTGTTTTGCGCCACTCGGTTGGTAGCCTACGATATCACCACCACCTTACGTCCGACTTGCAGATCCCTCCCTCGGAATTTGCCTGACGACAGGCGCCACAGTTTCCACCATGGCTGACGAACATCGTCAGCCGGATGCATTGCAAAATGTCCCGACTATCACCCAGGAGCATTCCTACGCCCAAGAAAGCTCCCACGTTATCGCTTCCGACCAAACCGTGACCTCTCAGTCGACTAGCGAGACCGACCTATCCGCTGATGGCCGTTGGGGAGAACAGGAAGAGGAGCCTGTCTCTCGTCGCGGCGCCATGGAGGATTTTGAGGAAATGCGCAAGGAATTGACCCGCCTCAGTTTGCACCAAACCCGTTCCGCTACTCGAGAAGCTCAGCGACTGCGCTCGCGCGCAAGCCAGGCGCGCGATGAGGAGAAGGCTATGGAAGACGACGACGACGACTTGTCCGGCACCACGGACAGCGGTTATGGCGGTTTCGACCTCAGCGAGTTCTTGATGGGCGGCCACCTCGAACGCCGGACGACTGCAGGCGAACCCGCTAAGAAGGTGGGTGTGGTGTTCAAGGACGTCACCGTGAAGGGTGTCGAGACGGGTGCGTCTTTTGTTCGTACCCTTCCGGACGCCGTCATCGGTACCTTTGGACCCGATCTCTACAACATTGTCTGCAAGTTCGCCCCCAAACTCCGCTTTGGTCGCAAGCCCCCCGTGAGAGACTTGCTTCACGAGTTCACTGGTGCTGTGCGGGAAGGTGAGATGATGCTGGTGCTGGGAAGACCTGGTGCCGGTTGCTCCACCTTCCTGAAGACCATCGCCAATGACCGAGAAGCCTTCGCTGGCGTCGAGGGTGAGATCAGCTACGGCGGTATGTCCGCGGAGGAGCAGCACAAGCACTTCCGTGGTGAGGTCAACTACAACCAGGAAGATGACCAGCACTTCCCCAACCTCACGGTTTGGCAGACCCTCAAGTTTTCTCTCATTAACAAGACCAAGAAGCACGACAGGGAGAGTATCCCGATCATCATCGATGCTTTGTTGAAGATGTTCGGCATCTCACACACCAAGAACACCGTGGTCGGTAACGAGTATGTCCGCGGTGTGTCCGGTGGAGAGCGAAAGCGTGTCAGTATCGCGGAGACGTTGGCCACCAAATCCTCCGTCGTCTGCTGGGATAACTCCACCAGAGGTCTCGACGCCAGTACCGCCCTGGATTACGCTAAGTCCCTGCGCATCATGACCGACATCAGCAAGCGGACCACGTTTGTCACCCTGTACCAGGCCGGTGAGAGCATTTACGAACTCATGGACAAGGTGCTGGTGATCGACCAGGGACGCATGCTCTACCAAGGTCCCGCCAACGAGGCGAGACAGTACTTTGTGAACCTTGGTTTCCACTGCCCCGAACAGTCGACCACGGCCGATTTCTTGACTTCCCTGTGCGATCCCAACGCCCGTCAATTCCAGCCCGGCCGGGAAGCTTCGACTCCGAAGACCGCGGAAGAGCTCGAGTCCGTGTTCAGACAAAGCAGTGCCTACCAGCGTATCCTGGACGATGTTTCTGGCTATGAGAAGCAGCTTCAAGACACCAACCAGGAGAGCACCCGTCGCTTCCAGAAGTCGGTCGCCGAGTCGAAGAGTAAGACCGTGTCCAAGAAGTCGCCGTACACCGTTTCTCTGGTCCGCCAGGTCGCCGCCTGTGTGCGTCGTGAGTTCTGGCTGCTCTGGGGTGACAAGACCTCGCTCTACACCAAGTACTTTATTATTCTTTCTAACGGTTTGATTGTCTCGTCCTTGTTCTATGGTGAATCGTTGAATACCAGCGGCGCCTTCTCTCGTGGTGGTGCTCTGTTCTTCTCGATTCTGTTCCTGGGTTGGTTGCAGTTGACGGAACTGATGCCGGCGGTCAGTGGTCGTGGCATTGTTGCCCGTCACAAGGATTACGCCTTCTACCGTCCGTCAGCTGTTTCCATTGCTCGTGTGGTTGTGGATTTCCCAGCCATCTTCTGCATGGTCGTTCCCTTCACCATTATCGTCTACTTCATGTCCGGACTCGACGTGACCGCTTCCAAGTTCTGGATCTACTTCCTCTTCGTGTACACGACGACGTTTTGCATCACGTCCATGTATCGCATGTTCGCTGCACTCTCGCCATCGATTGACGACGCTGTCCGATTCAGTGGTATCGCGCTTAACGTGTTGATCCTGTTCGTTGGCTATGTCATCCCCAAGCAATCTCTCATCGATGGTTCGATCTGGTTCGGATGGCTCTTCTACGTCAACCCGTTGTCTTACAGTTACGAAGCCGTTCTGTCCAACGAGTTTGCTGGTCGACTCATGGACTGCGCCTCATCGATGTTGGTCCCCCAGGGCTCTGACTTGGATCCCAGGTACCAGGGATGCTCTCTCACCGGATCTCAGCTCGGGCAGACGCAGGTTTCGGGTTCCAACTACATCGAGACCGCCTACCAGTTCACCCGCCATCACATGTGGCGTAACTTCGGTGTCGTCATTGCCTTCACTGTGCTCTACATCCTGGTGACCGTTTTTGCTGCCGAGTTTCTCTCGTTCGTCGGTGGTGGCGGCGGTGCCTTGGTATTCAAGCGTTCCAAGCGTGCTAAGCAGCTCACGGCACAGAGCGGCAAGGGAAGTGACGAAGAGAAGACCCAGGGCGCTGGTGTTCAGGCCCAGTCCAACAGCAATAGCGACTCGTTCAACCGCATCTCCTCTAGCGACCGCGTCTTCACCTGGTCCAACGTTGAATATACGGTTCCCTACGGCAATGGCACAAGGAAGCTTCTCAATGGTGTCAACGGCTATGCTAAACCCGGACTCATGATTGCCCTGATGGGTGCTTCCGGAGCTGGTAAGACTACGCTCCTGAACACTCTGGCTCAGCGTCAGAAAATGGGTGTGGTCACTGGCGATATGCTTGTTGATGGCCATCCTCTGGGCACCGACTTCCAGCGAGGCACCGGCTTCTGTGAGCAGATGGATCTCCACGACAATACCGCTACCATTCGCGAAGCTCTCGAATTTTCCGCGCTGCTCCGTCAGGACAGAAACACTCCGGATGAGGAAAAGCTTGCCTACGTTAACCAGATCATTGACCTTTTGGAACTCGAGGAAATTCAGGATGCCATCATTGGCTCCCTCAACGTCGAGCAGAAGAAGCGCGTCACCATCGGTGTCGAGCTGGCTGCCAAGCCCAATCTTCTTCTTTTCCTCGACGAGCCCACTAGCGGTCTGGACAGTCAAGCGGCCTTTTCCATCGTGCGTTTCTTGAAGAAGCTTTCTCAAGCCGGACAGGCTATCGTGTGTACGATCCACCAGCCTTCGTCCATGCTGATTCAACAGTTCGACATGATCTTGGCTCTGAACCCTGGCGGTAACACTTTCTACTTCGGCCCGGTCGGTCATGAAGGACGCGACGTGATCAAGTACTTCGCCGACCGCGGTGTTGTCTGCCCCCCTTCGAAGAACGTCGCCGAGTTCATTCTTGAGACGGCGGCTAAGGCGACCAAGAAGGATGGCAAGAGCTTTGACTGGAACGAGGAATGGAGGAACTCGGAGCAGAACCAAAAGATCCTGGACGAGATCAAGACCATCAGAGAGGAGCGCAGCAAGATCCCGCTTGATGAGCAGGGCGTGCCGTACGAATTCGCTGCTCCTGTTACGACCCAAACCTACCTCCTTATGATGAGACTTTTCAGGCAGTACTGGAGAGATCCCTCTTACTACTATGGAAAGCTTTTCGTCAGTGTCATCATTGGTATCTTCAACGGTTTTGTAAGTACCCTTGGCTCAGCCCTTCCATGCACAGTTACTAATCCATGTAGACCTTCTGGATGCTTGGAAACACCATCTCTAGCATGCAGGACCGGATGTTCTCGATCTTCTTGATTATTCTCCTCCCGCCTATCGTCCTGAACAGTTTGGTCCCCAAGTTCTACATCAATCGGGCACTTTGGGAAGCTCGCGAGTACCCCAGTCGTATCTACGGATGGATCGCATTCTGCACGGCCAACATCATCTGCGAAATCCCGATGGCTATTATCTCCGGACTGATTTACTGGCTGCTGTGGTACTACCCGGCCGGTTTCCCTACGGACTCGAGTAATGCCGGATACGTCTTCCTCATGTCCGTGCTTTTCTTCCTGTTCCAAGCCAGCTGGGGTCAATGGATCTGTGCCTTTGCTCCGTCCTTCACCGTTATTTCCAACGTAAGTTACTCCGTTCCAGAGTTATCTAAAGAAAACAATTAACACATCCACCAGACCCTCCCCTTCTTCTTCGTCATGACCGGCCTGTTCAACGGTGTCGTCCGTCCTTACTCTGCGTACCCCGTGTTCTGGAAGTACTGGATGTACTACGTCAACCCTGTCACCTGGTGGCTCCGCGGTGTCATCTCGAGCGTCTTCCCCACCGTTGACATTGAATGCGCCTCCTCGGAAACCACCCACTTCAACCCTCCCCCGGGCCAAACCTGCTCTCAGTACGCCAGCGACTGGGTCTCGAGTGCCGGCGTCGGCTACCTCTCCAACCCCAACGCCACCTCGGATTGCCAGTACTGCCCCTACGCCAACGGTTCCCAGTACATGCACACCCTCAATGTGCACGATGGCGACAAGTGGCGCTGCTTCGGTATCTTCCTCGCCTATGTGATCATTAACTGGTTCCTGGTCTACTTTATGATCTACTGCGTGCGTGTCCGTGGCTGGTCTTTTGGACTTGGCTACGTCTTCGCTGCGCTGGGAATGCTCTTCGGTAGCATTAAGAAGCTGTTTGTGAGATCGCCCAAGGCGTAGAGATGAGGCTTTACCGCCATTTTTACGACCATAGTATTCGTCTGTTTGATGGATGCTGGTGTGTGGGACTCTCCTCCTGTGATAAAACATGGGAAAGAAAACAAAATAAAATACAAATCACTATCAAAAAGATATATACAGGCCTATGTGGCCTGAGACACGAGATGAAGCAGCAGGAGGATAGAGAAAAGCATATTGGTTCGGATTTCATTTTTTCCTTCTTGGTTTATATTATCATGCAAGATACATAGAGATGCATCAGCGTGTGTGTTTGTCGGGCGGGCTTGGCTTTTTGGTCAAGCCTTTTTCTTCATGTTGTTTCTTTTTTTGGGTTACATTTTGATCCATAATAGGTACATAATGCATATTATTCTATATATATATTCTATATTTTATTGTGGCTAGGAATAGTAATAGTAGGGATTTTGTATCATCAGTTTGATCAGATATGTCTTACTATCAACCGAGATAAATGTCTTGCACATACATCTACCCACCATACATCACAAACCCCTTATCCCTAAGCCCTATCAAGAATAACATCCAGACCATACCCCTTCCTCTTAACTACAACTAGGGTCCAACATCAACTCTGACTCTCCGCAAAAAACCACGGCTTCCTCCCCCCACTATACCTCGCCCCCGGCACCCGCATCGGAACCGGAACAGTATCCCCGAATACAGCGGGGAGGTTTGTCCCGTCGTCATGATTATCGGTTGACAATGAAGAAGATGAAGATGATTCAGAGGTTTTGCCTTTGCCTTTATCTTTATCTTCGGATATCTTATCCTTGACTTCTGGTGTATCCGTCTTGTCTTCAATAACAGGGACTATTACGCCGCATTCCCAGTTTCGGCAGTTCAGCTTGGGGGATTTGGTTGAGCGGTCTTGGACGAGGCGGCCCCTGTTTGGAAGAGAGGTACATGAGTTAGGGGGTGTTGGGATGGGTGAAATCGAAGATTTTGAGTATGAACGTGGTATTTATGAGGAAATACGTACCAGGCACTTTCGGATAGATTGGCACTTCCGATGTAAGCCCATGCGCGGCATTGGGTTGTTTCTGAGAGAGGGATGGGTTCGTCGGGGCGGATGTAGAGGATCTGTTGTTGAGTGTGGGGTGGGATGTTAGAGATATCGTATTTGTAGGGGAAGAGGAAGGGGGTAGGGTGGGATACGCACCTTGTTATGCATTAACAGGCCCTTTCTTTGACTTTCACAGTCTCGGAGTATATGGCGTGGGAAGTTCTCGCCGTTGTACCATCTTGACTGGAAGCAGATGGTGCCTGCGCAGCGGGGGCCACCTTTTGATGTTGCGATGGTGTTCTGGGAGGGGAAGTAGAGACGGAATCGGTCCTTCCATTCGGTGCCCGTGTCTTTCTTGAGGAGTTTGGAGGGATCGTCGCGTCGAGGGACTGGGAAGTTTTTGGCGTAGCGGATTGTGAATTCGGTAAGGCCGTCGTCGCCTTTGGGTTAGAGAGATTTAGGTGTTAGTTATCGGGTCTATGGGCAGGGACAAGGAATATGGGAATGTGTCTACCTTGTGAAGCGAGGTACAAGGAGCGGAGAAATTGGTCTGTTATAGCGCCAACGGAGGAAGCCTTGACTTGTGAGCATGTAGCAGATGGTTGTGGCAAAAGGTAGATGCTTACGATGAAGTCGATGTTCAGTGGTACGGATGTACGAAGGTTCAGACTTTCCACTGCGCGACCTAGGCCGCAGTAGCCTGTTCGTTTCCACGCCATGTCTGTGTGAGAGCCACCGCTGGGACGGTTAGATATATCGATGCGGCTAGTAGCAAAAGGGGACATACATGGTGTGAACGAAGGCATATTTCGATGTTTTGCTAAAGTCAAAGCTATCAAGCTTAGCGATGATGTTCTCATGAAGAGTACTGGCTTTGAGGAAATGAACCAGATCTTCGTAGAAATGGGTCGTTGGCTTCTCGGCGCCATTCTTTTTCGGTAAGTCAATGAGAAAGACGCTCTAGAGGTGTGTCAGCAGGGGTTCTCCAGGGATAGACGCTCTTGTGCTTATTACATTCTCCATGACTCCGTTCATCTCACCCCAGTCAAATGGGGTTAGATTGGCTGTCGGTACCACGAGGCGAAGATATCCAGGGTGGAAGAGCAGCATTAACTTTGAGTGCATGCAAACGACCTGCCCACCCATTGGTGGGAAGCATAACCGCAAGTTCCGCATGGTAGCCGTCTCTGATTCGTACTGGCGTTTCTTCTCCGGTGATTAGCTTGTTCTAGACAAGGCTCGATTCCAGGGTGCAATAGACAATGGAGAATACTCACTGTAGCCTCATCCTCGGCTTGCATGACCATCATGAAACGGGTTTTCTCAATGTTGAATTTACTAAACAGCCAATCCATCTCCCACATGAACGAGCTCAAAACGGCAAGCTCTAAATCAGACTTCTGCAAGACCTCTTCAATCTTGATATCGTCCCCTTGCCGGGGACATCCAAAGGCCCATGTCTTTTTGACAATACCCTCTGGATATTGAACCGACGGTGAAGTAGATGGGATCGACCTAGAGCTTGTAGGCTGTGATGCAGACGTAATCGTACCTTTAGTGGCCACAGTGGGTTGGACAGTAGGCTTTGGGGCTGAGTCGATCTTCGAGTGCTTGGTCTCACGCAGATCAATGGAGCTAGTATCCTCAGCCTTTCTCTTAGCAAGTCGTGCGAGACGTTCTTGCTCCATTTGCTTTCGATCGAGACCGAAGATACCCATGGACTTAGCAGGTTGTTGGTCGTTTGTCTTCTCTTCGACCTCTTTCACTGAGGGAGAATCAGTGCCCTGGGTCTCCCCTTTCTCAGAGTCGCTAATTTGCAGAGGACTGGAGGATTTCCCCGAGCCACCGTGAGCTTCTTGCAACGAGAGCGCGATAGCTCTCCTCAGATCGTCATCATATTGATCATCATCACCCGCCTCATCATCCGTGTCGGATCCGATTACGGACCGCGACTTCGGAAAAACGGGTACAACGTCATCTGAATCGGACTCTGCTGTGAGATCGACAACCTGTCTCTCGGAGCTGCGACGCTGATCGGGTTCAGAGTCTAGATCAAATGTCTCAAACTGACGCTCCCCTTCATGTGGAGCCATATTGAATGATTTTCTAATACCAGAATATACGATGAGTGAGATGATAGATCCAAGAAAGAGGATAGAGTGATAGTGAGGGTAAAGAGGGGATGAGTCGGTAACAACTAGCGGAATAAATAAAGGCCTGATGGTAGTTTGTACCGGAGGTTGTCTGTTTATCAGGCCGACGCTAGAGATGCTTCAGCGCAGCAAAACAAGCGCAACACTGTATTCATCAAACAAATGACTTGAGAACTAAGCAAGAAGTCTTAACAGTTAGGAAATAAGAAGGTTGAATGGATCTGGAGGAGGTTGTTATGAGAGAGGAAGTGCAGGTGCACTTCACACCCTGGGATCCTGGCAGCTGGCACGTGACCGAGACGGGCTGAGCTGGAGAGCACCAGTTGAACCCCCAATGCACCAACAGGGCAGAGGGATGCAGGACACTAAATATTTATATTGAGAGAAAATGGGGATATATTTAGAGCTGTAATTTACTGGGTCTACAACTCAGAGCATTAACTATGTGGCTACGGTGTAAGCATTCACTACCAGCGACTTATGTTTGATTGCATTTGGCTAACAAGACACACATGCAAACCTTTGGCCATGCACAGCTACTCCAGACCACGGTGTTCCCGGCTATCACAGATGGTCTCTTCTGCCAATATCTGCATCTAGCTTTGACCTCGAGTTTGCTGCTTGATCTAGAATCAAACAACATCTCCAAACTTCCCGCGCATCTTCGTTCACCTGATGACATGGCGGGAGTGGTTCCGTCAGGAGCTCTTGAGAGCCAAGGCTTGTATCAGAGTCTAGTGCAAGAGCACAACCGCCATGACCCTAGAAATCGTGGGTAAGTCGTGCTCGTCTTGTTTTCGATCTCGGACTTTGTTCGCTGCTAACATCGGACGCCGGCAAGACCAGTAGTTCGTTTTGTCAAGCCCTTGTACGACAAAGAATCGGGGGCTGTTAGTGATTTCGAAGAACATGACAAGCAGCCGAAGTACCGTGAGGTAGCCAATGAACAGATCACTAGGATGCTGAGAGTAGCTCGGTTTGACCCACAGCCAATGTCGAAGTGTCTCCTGTACCGTCTCCCCCTGGAAGTCAGACTAAAAATATGGGAATGCCTATTCCCGCACAACTGGAGCGCCGTGGAGCTGGAGGAATTCGCACAGACGACAACGGGCCTCGCTATCTTCCTGACCTCTCATCAGATCTTCCATGAAACCTTGCTGGTCTTCTTCTATTCGCTTGCATACAGCAGGCTTGTCCTCAAGGAGTACGGAGGCTCTACCGCGCATTATCTCAAAAGTGTCCCCTTGAAGCTGGATCGATGCATTTATAAGCGTAGAGGATTCATCTGTCTCGACATTGAGTGCGATAAAGAAAGAACGTTTGGATCGCTTGTGTTTTCACTTGGCGACAAGAACCATGAGACGGCAGTTCGACGTCGCTGGGGTTTTGCGCTCTTCATTACCACTTTGAGAATGGAGGGGCCCTTGCGTGTCCATGATCTGACCGTCGCTGTCACTGAAAATTGGAAAATCCCCGGGTTTGACGAGAACGATTTGGTCCAGGCTCTATTCAGTGGGGCCTTCACGGTCCTTGGAAGACTGATATTCGTGGGCTTCACTAGGATGGAGCGAAGACGTCTCACCAACCTAATAGTCGCGAGGCAGGACCCGTGCGTACAGCTCATGCGACGTAGGGATGATGCTGAGGATATAGTTCGGTAAGTGGTAGTTCCTGGCATAGAATTGATCATGTCATTGGGCCACCTTATTGGCTCATTAGATGCATTGCAGCACGAGGTCAATGACGGCAAAGAAAACATCTCTATCCGCGTCGGCAGTTTCAAGCCCAAGCCCCAAAACGAGCATACGTTTCTCATTGGGCGTCTTGGTGACAATGGCACTGGCGATTTGACGAGCATAAAGCTGACCAACTACTTCATGTCCAGGAGCCCGGCCACCGAGGAGTGACGTGGCAGTCAGATTGCCAATAGGAAGAAGACTGTCCTCAGCAGGCTCGGAGATGGTGTGAAAGCCCTCTGTTCCTGGGTTTTTGTTCTCAAGTGGCACGTGCAGCTGAAGTAGGTTAGTTGAGATGAGAAGAGCATGGCATGATCATTGACTAACCCAATGTCCTAGTCGGCCTTTCTGTGAAATAGTGATTAGAATCCTATCACTGAATTTGATCAAGGTGACATTTGTCTGGATACCCTTGACATCTCCCACAACCTGCTTCGTGACTGCGGGGTAGGGCAGGTTTAGATCCTGGAGTTGGTTGATGTCAAAAGGTTCACTATCCATGGTTGTTTTTAATGTGATTTAAGTTTATGAGATACCCTGACAAGCAATAAGATGCACAAGTTCTCTTCTTAGGATGATGGAAAAAAAGATAAGAATAAAACAATAACACTGTGATAAACACAAGGAAACGCGACGAAGCAGAAGAAGAGGAGAGAGAAGAGTGAAGAGGGGTGACTGGCCGTGAAGTACATCCTAGGCGGTGAGGCTATACTCACCGCTTTGCGGGCAGAATGTGGCCGCCGCCTGATTTTTTTCACGGCACTCTCTTATCGCTCTTCACTTTTACTTTCAGTCTGGGACCTGGTTAACTTTGTCTTGCAATTAAGACAAAGGGTCAAGTCTAGTGATCATGCCCAAGTTTGTCCCCCGCCAGCGAAAGCAAAAGCACAAGCAGAGGGAGGCAACAACCGCTCCGGTAGACACCAATGTTGCCGAACTTGCGCCCGTCTCCAAGGATGAGAAGGAAGCTAAACGGCAGAAGCTAAAGGAAGAATTGCGAGCACAGCACGCTCAGGTTTCTTCCAAGAAGCAGAAGCGCTTGGACAAGTATATCGTGCGTGCGCCTCTATATTGGCCATCCTCTATCGTTATATCTAACACTTTGGACAGGAAAACAAGCTGAAGAAAGAAGAGAATCTCGAGCTGCTTAAAAAGCTCGCGCAATCCAAGGTTGATACCTCGGCCCTCCAGAGCTCCAAGGAATTAGGAAAGCGCAAGCGACAAGATGAAGTACCGGCCGTATCTAGAACCGCGGATCACGACTCGCGCCAGGATCAGGACCTAGACTTTTCGGACGACGATTCGGACGATTCGTTGCCCCAATCGAAGACCACTGTTAACGAATCTAAATCCGAAGCCCCCGCGCAAAAGCCCGCAGAGAACCCAGCGACCGGTATCGGGTTGAAGCGCCCTCTGGAGCTCGGTCCGGATGGGTTTCCGGTTCTCAAGAAGCGAAAGCAGGTTGCTAAGAAACCAGAGATAACCATCACGATGCCGGAAGTGCCGTGGGAAGGATTTGGCTCAGATGAGGATCAAGACGAAGACGAGGAATCCGAAGAGGGCGAAGATGAAGAGTCAGAGGGAACATCGTCCGATGGCTCAAGTGACGAAAGCGGCAGTGAGGGTGAGGGCGATGAGGACGAAGATGAAGATGATAGCGAGGAAGACGATGAAGAGAGTGAGGAAGATGACGACGAAGAAGGCGAGGAGGAAGAGAAGCATAAAGTGGGCCAACCTCGACAATCCGCCTTCAAATCTTGGGCCAGACAGCAGATCAATGATGCCATCGGTTTCAAGCCTACCACTGTTCCAGTCGTCGAGGAGCAGGCGTTCATTCCAGAACGCAAGAAGCCAGTCAGGAACACCGTTGCCGAGGAGGAACCATTGCCCTTGGAACTTCAGGTCACCACGGGGGATCCCAACCGGAAAGCCTTTAGTGTCCAGGTCAACCGGTCAGAGGAAATACAAAATGCACGCTTGGGACTGCCGGTTGTTGGCGAGGAACAGAAGATCATGGAAGCAATCTACAATAACTCCTCGATCGTGATATGGGGTGCTACTGGTTCCGGAAAGACAACCCAGCTTCCCCAATTCCTCTTCGAAGCGGGCTATGGCAACCCCAACAGCCCCAATCCAGGCATGATCGGAGTAACTCAACCACGCCGAGTCGCAGCAGTTAGTATGGCGAAGCGTGTAGGCGAAGAGCTGGGCGAATTCTCCGACCAAGTCTCCTACCAGATTCGATTTGAGAGTACGGCATCCAGCAAGACCGCAATCAAGTTCATGACCGATGGTATCCTCATCCGCGAAATTGCCGAAGACTTCTCCCTTAGCAAGTATTCGGTCATTGTGATTGATGAAGCCCACGAACGGAGCGTCAACACCGATATTCTCATTGGAATGGTCAGCCGCATTGTCGACTTGCGGAAGGCTATGCAGGAGGAAGACCCGTCCGTCAAGCCTCTGAAGCTCGTGGTCATGTCTGCCACCCTGCGCATCTCCGATTTTACACAAAACCCGAACCTCTTCCGTCAAGGACCGCCACCTTTGGTCCAGGCACAAGGTCGCCAGTACCCTGTCACCATCCACTTCTCCCGACGTACCAATCGCGATTATATCGAAGAGGCATTCCGCAAGGTGTCGAGAGGTCACCGCAAGCTGCCTCCGGGCGGGATGCTTGTGTTCATGACCGGACAGAACGAAATCCGTCAGCTGTCCAAGCGTTTGAAGCAGGCCTTCAAACCCACCCAGCGCGGCGAAGCCACTCAAGCCAGGGTCCAGATCTCTGCCAATGATGCACCACTGGAGGCGGAAGATTTCGAGATCGGCGGTACCGATCTGTCACTTGCTGGTAACCAGGAAGATGACGAGAGTGATTACGAAATCACTGGACTGGATGAACCCGAGGAAGATGAGGACGAGTTTGATCTGGGTGAAGAGGCCATGAGCTCGACGACGCGAGTTCACGTGCTCCCATTGTACTCTCAGCTTCCTACCAAGGAGCAACTTAGGGTTTTCGAACCCCCGCCGGAAGGCTCCCGACTCATTGTCTTAGCCACCAACGTGGCTGAGACAAGTCTTACAATCCCAGGTATAAAGTACGTGTTTGACTGTGGTAGAGCCAAGGAGAAGCAGTACGATCTCGCAACAGGTGTCCAGAAATTCCAGATTGAATGGATCAGCAAGGCCAGTGCCAACCAGCGAGCTGGACGTGCTGGTAGAACTGGACCTGGTCATTGCTACCGTCTGTACTCTTCCGCAATCTACGAGAACGAGTTCGCCGAATACACTGACCCGGAGATTCTGCGGACGCCAATTGAGGGTGTCGTACTTCAGATGAAGAGCATGGGACTCCACAATGTCATCAACTTCCCATTCCCTACACCTCCCAGCCGCGAGGGTCTAGCCAAGGCTGAAAAACTCCTCAAGAACCTGGGCGCACTCACATCCGAAGGCCAGATCACGCAAATAGGTAACCGCCTATCGACATACCCTCTGTCTCCCCGGTTCGGCAAGATGCTGTACGTCGGCCACCAGCACGGCTGCATGCCGTACGTCATCGCACTTGTTTCCGCCCTCGCAGTCGGCGATCTGTTTGTTCCCGAGAACCAGATCGATCCTACACCAGCGAAGGACGACAGCGAGCGCAACGGTGTATACACGAACGCGGACCGTCTCGAAGACACCGCCCGGGAGCAGCGCCACAAGGACTACGCTCGGGTACACCGTCTTTTCAGCAAGCACGATGACACATCCGACGCACTGAAGTACCTATCGGCAATTTGCGCCTACGGATACGCCTCCGACGGCGATGCATTCTGCGACAAGATGTTCTTGCGCGCAAAGGCCTTCAAGGAAGCCACGCAGCTCCGCCGCCAGCTGACGGACATCGTGCGCAGCAACAACCCGGGCTTGGTCCAGGCCTATCAGGCACGCTTGCCCGAACCGACCGAGAAGCAGGTCAAGGCCATCAAGCAGATCATCACGGCCGGGTTCATCGACAATGTTGCTCTCCGCGCGGACCTTGCGCCCGTCCCGCCTGAGATGCACCGTACCCCCAAGCGAGCCATCGATGTTCCCTACTTCACGCTGATGAGGTCTCGTGACGGACCGGGCTTGGAGCTGGACGAAAAGGTTGTCTATGTGCACCCGTCGTCTGTCATTGCGCAGCTCTCCGCTAAGGAGATGCCCCAATACATTGTCTACTCGCATCTCCAGCAATCGTCGCCCTCCATTGTATCTGCAGACCAGACCCCTAAGATCCGGATGTATCCCCTCGCTACGCCCAGCGGACTACAGCTGTCCGCGCTGGCACACGGAACGCCATTGATCGAGTACGGCAAGCCGATTGGCAAGACGGAGTTGATCGAGGGTATTCCTCAACGGCGATCATGCTGGGTGATCCCATCTCTGGTAGGTGAGGCCGGCGGAGCACGGTGGCCGCTACCAGCCAAGAAGGTCATCCAGAGAAAGGATGCGAAGGAGGGATGGGTGATAGAAAAATTTGTCGCATAATGTATATACATATACCAGACGCTTACAATTACAAAAGTGATGATGCAATAACCAGCTGCTTATCCCTATACATAGGATGAATCTGCGTTAGCCATAACAATAATAAAAGTAGACCGGCACCCATATGCCAACCACTAACACCATAATAAAACAACAAAAAGAAGAACAACTGGAAATCATAAAACCCACCCCATGTCCCAAATCAATAAGAACAACCTATTTCTCCTCCTTAATCCCCAACGCCCTCCTCAACCTCTCACTCTCCTCAATCTTCGCCTCCGCCAACTCATGCACCTGATAACTCTTAAACTGCCGTCTCTCCTTAGGCGGCAAATCCCACGCCCTACGACCGCGTCTCCCTGCACCACCACCACCATTCCCATCCTTTCCATCTCCACGTTCCCTCTCCTCCTCCATCTCCCTAACCAACCGCTTCCTCAACGCCTCACACCTCTCATCAATCTCCTCCTCCGTCAACACCTTCTCTTCATCACCCTCATCCTCATCTTCCTCACCCTCCTCCTTTTTCACCTCACCCTCCTCCTTCTTAGATCCCTTCTTCTTCTTAGATTTCTGGCCCATCTCCTCCTCAATCCTCTCATTCTCCTCCTCCAATCTCTCCCTCTCCTCCATAACTTTCACTTCGATTGCGCGCCGCCGATCATGTTCCAGGATCTGCTTGTCGGGTTGGCGCTGCTTGAAGGGCTTGTCTAACGGGTGGTCCGAGGAGTTCGCGCCGCTGATGGGTGGGTAGGGCGCGCCGTACCCGGCGTTGCGGGGCTTCATGAATGCGAAGTTGCGTTGCACGTAGCCGGAGGTGCCGCTGCCTCGGGGGGTGGAGAGGCCGACGTTGGAGGACATTTTGTTTATATGTTTTCTTGCTCCTGTTTTTGTCTGGTTCTTGAGATGTGGTGTTTAGTGGCGGGTGGGTGAGGGTTGATTTATGGGTGTGGAAGTTGGGTGTATGGTGGTTGAGGATGGTAGATATTATGGCTGCTGGAGAGGCGAAGGTCTGCATCGGCGAGTCATGCGACGATGGAGGGAGCTTAGTGTCACGTGATGATAAGGGAGTGATAAGGTGGGAGCGGAGGGAGAACAAAGTTGGTTGGTTACTTACGTCAAATTGCTGCAGTTCCTCTACAATAGCTACTTGAATGCGATAGTTGAATCAGCAACGGCAATGCTTTTCATTTTGATCGTCTGTATACCGAGACAACAAGGCCTCTACATACTCTAGGCATCCCTTATATTCTCCCTATTTCCAGGTCTCCCATATGTCCATGTCCAAGGTCCCGTTTTGTAACCCATCGAGGAAAATCAAGCGCGATGTCCCATGAACCCGTTATTCACCAATAAAGACGCCGGCCCCTCGTGTGTGTGTGGACAAAGAGAAACAGAAAACATTGATAAGCTATGGAGGCGTGTCCTCATTTTCATGACGTCGAACTTCAGAGTAACAGAAGAAGGGGAATACATCGACAAGCAATTAAATGGGTAGAGGGGTAGAAAAAAAAGTATCAAGAAGTGAAAGGAGGGCTGGAGGCGAAAATTGAAAGCAATGTAAGAATAGAAAAAAGACATCAGTTTCCGCCGTCACCCTCGTTGTAGCGCCATAAAGCCATGAAGCTGGGCATGAAGGTAATGAAGCTCCGCGCTTCTAAGCCTCTTTCACGCCCATAATATGTATATCCCCAAGTATTAGAAGCAAGTTGGGAGAATGTGCGTGACCAGTTATAAAGATATATTTCATAAGAAGTAAGAATAACGTTCGGAACGTAACAGGCCTAGGTGCTGCCAGTGACTTCGACAGAGTCGCTGGTGACCGGGTTGGCCGACTCGCATTCCGCCAAGGGCGTCACCGTGCTTTTCGCCGTATGCTTAGATTCCGAGGAACCATCAGCATTGCTCTGCGTATCGGTGGGAGGCGGGGTCGGGGGAGCGGCGCCAACCACAGGAGCACGGCAGTTCTCGACACCATTCACAGCCCTTTTGGAAGGCTGGGGGGAGGACTTGTGCGAGTTGGGAGGCGTCGTCGATGTGGCTGCGTGGGCCAGGGGAGCGCCGGCGGGTGGCATGACCCCCCCAATCAGCTTTTCAATCGCCACGATCTGCTTGCCATAACTGAACTTCTTCAATTGATCAAGCATCGGCTGGATGCGTACGGCCAGACTGTACTTCTCTTCGGACGTGTCCTCCAGCTGTCCAAGGATCTTTTCTATAACGGAAGTTAGTAGTCATAACATGGGCGGCTTGGAATGCAACTTACGGATCACATAGTTGCCGTACTGATCACGCATGAGGCTGATCAAGGGGCTGTCGCCGCGCTCGTTGACACTCGTCAGCGTGCTAATCATCTGCCGACGTTGAGACTCCTCGCCGTATTCAATGCTCTTCTCGACCACATTGCTGGCGAACTTGTGCTTGGAGTAAGTCAAGAGTTGCGACATCACCACTGTGATCATGCGAGACCGGTCTTTATCTTCACCATTCTCGATGACATGCTGGATGACATAGTTGCCAAACTGATCCGTGATCAACTTTGACGTGCAGGCATGCAGTTCACCCAAGATAGACTCCCGGTCCGCTTCCTCGCAGTGCTCCAGCATGCGCTGAATGACACGGCACCCATATGGGTGTGTAGCCAGTCGGTCAACTTGGCCCTTGAAGGCATTTATGATAAACTGGACGTATTGAGACGGGACTCTCTCGATGGCCTTCTGGATGACATGATTGCCGTTCTGGTCCCGAACACAGCGAATCACTTGGGTCTCCAGTTCTTTGACCATTGATGCTTGCTGATCGGTGAGGATGTGTTCCAATGCCTGTCGCAGATAAGTATTCCGTATTGGGAGCCGAGCAGAAGACACTTACCTTTTGCACCACGCGGCACCCGTACATTTGGGTAGACAGGGACAGGATGTGTCCCTTCATCTGGTTTGCCAAAATCTTCTTCTGGGTCTGGTTTCCGTGTTCAAAGAGCTTCTGAACAACGTAGTTGCCGAACACATCCGTCATCAACTGCAAGCTGTTGGACTGGATCTCGCGGAACACCTGTTCCTTCTCATCGCTGTTGGCCGTCTCTAGCTTCTGTTGAATGAAGCGCGACCCGTGCTGGTCGCCACTGAATTCCACGATGTGCCCATAGATATCCTGACTCGAAATTAGCAACATACTTTTCCCGAGACCCGACCTGACCATTACTCACCTTCAGCTCGTAGCGCTTGTTCCCCTTGTTTTGAGCCCTGAACTCCTCTAGCACTGGACTCCTGACCACTTGTGAAGGATCATGGTCACGATGACCCCGAGAGACAAGGGCTGCTGCGCCAATCTGGGCGACAGGATGGTAAAACGAAAGGGCGTTGAGTCTCTGTGCTTGGTAACCCGCAAGATCATAAGCTGGAGGAATTTGGACCCTGTGCAGTGGATTGACTGCCTGCTGCGAAAGCTCCTGCTCGGCTCGTAGCTTCTGCTCCAGCAGGGCAGCTGCATTCCCCGTCACTTGACCTGCGGAACCGGTCCGAAAGTGTGCGCCATTATCCTGGGCATAGAAGGGGCTGTCAATGCGATACTCAGTGGGAGATATCGGGTTTGTGTCCTGAACACGAGATCTACTCGGCTGGTATCCCAATGGTAGCTCTGTCGGCACACCTTCGTTACCATAACCGGGCGGAAGTTGGTACTCGCTCTCGTCACCACCGTTCTGATATTTCATACGCGTCAGACTGGCATCATACGATTTGTGAGGTAAGTAGGCTGGACGATTAAGGCCCGGATGTCCCGACAAGTTGCCCTCGTTCAGCTGCAGCTTGTTAAAACCAGAGCCAAGATCGACGGAGCCACTACCAGACCGTCCCTCGTAGCCCTGGCTCTCGGAGTGGAATGACGGGTAGGTGGAGTGAGATGGTCGTTGTGGTGCGAAGGAAGCCGAGTTATGCGCAGTATGGGAATATGAGTTGCGGCCCATGTGCTGCGTCATGTAATCGGGTAGAGCAGACTGCAGGGTTGACATGCCCATCGACGTGGTCACATCATCTGATCTTTGATTGTCTAGTGGGCTTGTGAACCCTGCCTTGATCGGAAACCCAGATCCCACAGGGCTACCGCCAAAGGCAGAAGTGTTCACCTGCCGCCTGCCATCAGCGTTTCTCATTCCGAAATTGCCAAGGCTCATGCCCTCGCCTGACGGCGAGATGCCGTCCGACCCGGTGCTCAGGTAAGCTTTATGCCCAGCACCGCCACTTGATCCAATCCCCGACTTGGGCAGGGCAAAATACGAAGAAGAATCGGTACTATCAGGAATACCAGCCGCGCTGCGCTCATTGGCGCGTGTTTGTACGGGAGATGTAGTCATGCCGCTATTCGGAGCTCGCGACAAGGTGGCCGCCGATGTGTTGATCGTAGTCCATGGGAGGTTGGGACGGCTATTCCATCCATCGGATTCGGAAGACGAGAGCAAAGAACTTGACCCAGCCTTGCCCTCGAAAGCATTCTCCACAGTGTGCTGGTCTATAAGGTCCATGTCAGCGGCAATATCCCAAGTAGACAACTGTCCAAAGAGCTGCGTACCATCCAAACCGCTTGCCCATATACTGCCATTCCAGTTTCCGTTTCCACCACCGAAGCCTGTCCCCATACTCGAGGGAGCTCCTCGCGTCCTCTCACCATTAAATCCCGATGAAGTCATATTCCCCGACCGGCTTGAACGAACCTGTGTAGCAGTCAACGAGCCAGTCCACTTGCCGCTTGTCCGGACACCACGTACATTATGAACTGAATTCTGGTTGGAAGCCATTATGAATCCTCCCCGTAGATAGGAACCACACCGTAAATGTTCACCGTATGAATAGTCGTTCGTAGCCGACTGTAAGGGTCTTGTATGAAGTCGTTATCCCTGCACTATCGTTCCTGATACACTAGATGACAATGAGGCCGAAGTGATACGGATAATTATACGACCCGTAATGGGTGGATCGAGGCACGAGGTGACTGGTGAATACCGAACTGCACGAGTCAGCCATCCGATCAGACTGGAGATCAAAGCAACTGTAGCCAGTTGCGAACTGTTCGATGAGGTGTAAACTTACAAAGGAGCGAAGAATCAGGACACCAGAAGAAAGGGATGGAGGAGAGATAGGGCGGCAGCGAAGACGTTGCCGAAGAATAGGATTTGGATCGGGTCCAGAATAGACGCGGTCAGGCGCTGTACAAATTATACAGGGATCGAAGGGGGGGCACGAAAGGGAGAAGTAGCGTGGCAGGCGAGAAATGCTAGGCGGAGGAAGGAGGGAGGGAGGCCGTCAACAACGCAAGGTGACAAGAGCTTGATAAAAAGCAGTTTGCTTTGTCCACCCACGGCCCAGCAAGTAGCCGTAGATCGAAATCGGCAGTAAGTATTGCGACGTTACTATGCTCCGTGCATGCTCCAGGAAGTTCGAATCTTGCAGATCGCCCTCATGTGCCCTTTGAAGGCAAAGGGAGGGATGGCCGACACGGGGGGAGTTTTTCGTTTAATCAGACAGAGACGTTAGGAGCTCGGGCGAATCGCAGCGGCAAGGGGGGAGGGACAAAGGGTTAGAGAGAGGGTGCAGTTGGTATGGGCGGAGAATGTGCTTGTTGCGCAAAAAAAGACGTGATTAGTGGAGGGTCGAAGGATGGGAATGTGGACGAGAGACAAGGCCCAGCATTAATATAATCCAGCTGTGACACAGACAAGCGCAAGCATGACACCCGAAGTGGTTCCGAGCAGATCAGTCAGGCCTTTTATCCTTTTGTCGCAGGTTCGGTTCGGCCTCCACCACTGGGCGCTGGATGGCGAAAGTTTGGAAAGGTGGAGGGGAGGGAGGGAATAACGACAATAAATGACCGAAGAGTAGAGATAATATGATGACAGAGCGAGAGGGAAGAAAACGATCAAATGATGAAATGAGGAGGTTAAAAAAGGAAAAATATAAAAAATATAAAAGAGGAAAAAGTTAAAAAAGGTTTG